CTTCTCTCTGTTTCTTTGCATCATGGGTTAATGATTCAATTTTTTTCATGCTTTCTTCTATTTCTTTTTGCATTATTTCTTTTTCCCTTTCAAGAGCTTTCTTCTTTTCCTCAGTAACTTCCTTTTCTCTCTGAACCATTTCTCTGTCCTTTTGTATTACTCCCCTCTCTCTAAGTATTGATTCCTTTTCTGTTTGTAACAAACCAGTTTGAATTTCAGCTTCCTTTATCTGGAGCTTGGCAACCTCAGACTGCTTCTCTATTTCTGCTATTTGACCCTCAGCTTCTAATTTTGTTTTCTCAGCCTCTGTCATTAATTTCTGTGCCTCCAACAGCTTGATATCTGCTTCTAATTTAATACTTTCTGCAGTCTGAATCTTTCTCTCAGCCTCTTCTTTCAACTGGACAGCTTCTTGCATCATTTTTTCTATTTCTATGCTCTGCTGCTGTGTTTGATTTTCAACTTCTAGCATAAGGCACTTTCTCTCCAATATCTCGTTATCTTTTTCTTGGAGTCGAGACTCAAGATTAGACACCTGTTCTTGAAGGATGGTCACAGTTTGCCGAGTCACCTTTAAAGAAGCAAAATTGAGGGTAATTAAGTAGGTTCAGTATTTAGCCAACTGAATCCTAATACCTAATTTAACTTGTGGGCACAGCTAAAGACCAAACAGATATACAAGCATATTCTACAGTGGGAGCAACAGCCTCCTAGGGGACCATGAAGCTGTATTTGGAGGGGGTTAATGGCATAATTATAACACATACACAGATGTATTTAAGGTTAATTAGTACTTCATCACAGTCAGTCTCCAAAATTAACTCCTGTTCAATTTCCATTTTAATCCTTAAAAAATGAAACCACTATGGGGAAAGAAAGAAATGTACACTTATGTGCCACAGAATGTTAAAGAACTATATTATCTCACCTGAAGCTGCTCATTTGCAACATTAGCAAGCCTGGCTTTCTGTTTGCTCTCCTCCAACTGCACTCTCACTTCCTCCAGTTTTGCTTCCAACTCCTTATTTAGGCGACGAGCTTCCTCCAACTGTTCCGCTGTCTCTTTCACCTTCTGCCACAGGCTCATCATATTATCATCACCCTGACTGCTTAAGCTTGATATGATGCCTTCTAACTGGCATCGAATAAAGTCATTGTGATAAAGAGAAGATTCCAATTTCTCCCGTTGGCAACGAATTTGGTCCAGTAGGCATATTGGGATGGTAATTGAAGATCCACTACTTCTTTCTTGAAGTTGCTGTATGAATATAAAATTATTTGTTGTCATATATAACTAGAAAGTAAGTGTAATTGTATAAAAAATATCTGTTTAAAAGCTGATAATTCCAAACATGCTGGTGTAATCTATGAGGCTATGTTAAACATATGAATCTTTAAGGTTATATTCAACACATTTAACAAAGACAAAATCTGTACTAAATTAATACTGCTTTTACAAATAACTATTATAATTCAATTCTTCATTATTGGTGTGCTGTATCAACAGCCTGATGGCCAGTTACAGTTACAGCACAGAGATGAGCACAGGAACACAATAAAAACATAAAAGGTAAAACAAGCAGAATATAAAAATACATTAATACGGAGGACATAAATACACAAGAAAATTGCAACTATATATATTAGCATATTTGTAAAAATAATTTAAATCAATTAAGTAAATTATACTATTATAGAATGTGAAGAAGTGTGACAACAATAATAATGATAAATAACATATATAATCAGAAACAATTAAGAGTTCTGACTAAAGCAGAATTCAGTTATATGACTATCTGTGCACAAGTCCATCATGGAAGTCCATGAGCACAATTGCATTGCATTGTTAGGTTACAAATGTACATTACTTAAATATGACATTTGCAGCATAAGATTTGTAGCAATGGAAGTCTGTATAGGAAAGTAGGCTTTATGAATTCTATCCAGAATTCCTGGTTAATGTAGTTATAATAACTGAATTTTCTTACGCATGGAAAACTCATGCTGGAGAATCCCAAATATTAAAATTTAGGCAATGAAACTCACCGATGGCAAATGAGGTCATATTACAAAAGCAGAAAATTATTTCCTTTCTACCATAATTACAGCTGTTATAACTGTTAGAATAAGTGTTCGAGGCTGAAATATTTATAAACTAAAAGTCTTACCATTTCTGATGTCCAGTCAACAACATATTAAATAATGTTCATAAAATTTAAACACCAACATTCATGTACAGTATTATGAAGAATTCCTTCTATTCCTGCGCACTTCTGAACTCGTTTCTACTGCTACTATCATTATTTCCAATTCATACCTCTACACTTGTGGATTTGTCCAATTTCTCTTCATTGACCTTGGAAGTGTTCATGCTCATGTCACGAATAGACGGTTTGTCATTGGTCTCTGTTAGAGAAGGAAAAGATGGTGATGGAGCCAGTTGGTGCAGAATAGTCAGCTCTGCTCTCAATGCTTCATTTACTTGCTCCTGAGCTCTTAACCGATTCTGCAGTCTTCTCACTTCCCCCATGTCACTTCTTCCCCTCTTACCTACATAGTGTGATGAAAGGAATTTATGGAAAGATCAGTTTTCACCAAATAAGCAGAAACACACACATTTGAGTGAGATTTTGGTGATTGGCCTTGCAATCAGTGAAATTCAGGAATATGATGTCCTTATTCAACAAGGTCTACAGAATATTTGATAATTTATTGATTATCATATCTATAGATGATGCAAAGAGGAAGAATTTGTACAAAATTTTATACATATATGACCAATGCTGCATATCAGCTTTACTAAAACTAGTACCCAAGACATAAATAAAAAGTTAGACGACTGTTTCCACTGATGTTATCTACACTCAAATAAAAGTTCACTATATACATATGAATAAAAGAATAGAAATAAATATGAGACAGTGTGATATAAAAACATTCTGAATAAGATCTATAATTGCCATTTAACAATTCACATTGTTTTTTATGGTTTATTAAACTCAAGAAAAAACGTCTGCGCTCATATGAAGTAGTGGATCTAAACGACTGTTTTATATGTGTAACATTTTATGTTTCATGCAAAACTGTCATGTAATGGATAGAGGGATATGTAAATTAATGTTTGTAAAATTTATTTATTTTTATTGGGATATGTGAAGCATGGCAAATGCCAAGATTATTGAAATCATGTGTATACAAATAGGTAACTGAAACAAACTTTATAGTGCTTCATTATTACAAGTAAAAACAGTCTAAAATTATGAAGTGAGTTTCTGTGCAGTTTGTATTAATCAGCTCTACACCTTACAGTGCAGTCCTCCTACACAAGATTTTAACCAATCCATGAAATAATACTGGAATAAGAACATGTGACACAGCAGGCAAATATTCCCTCCCATTAAAGAACTCATTTTATTTACTGCACAAAAGCAAGACTATAGAAAGTTTCTTTCTCATAGCCTCATTTGTTAATATACTGGAAAAGAACAGTAGAATTATGCCAGTGTTAATACCTTGAATTCTGTTGATTTCATGAGCTGTCTCCTCAGATGATTCGGATGTGTCAGTATCCTCTTGAGTGATCCTAGGATTACGAGGCCTAATGCTACTAATCACGGTGCAACCACCAACATTAGTTCCAGGGGACTGTACTGCCTTGGCAGATTCCTCATTCAGCCCAATTCTCGCCAATGATACATTTCGGTCTGGCTCTGACCATGCCTCAGAGTCAGACAAGTTTCCTCCAGCAACATCATGCTGATGGATAGGCTGCTGGAGGTGACTGAACGCAACCGCACTAGCACTGGAACTACGGCATATCTTGTTAATTGGCAAATTAGTATTTTTAGAATCTTGCTTCTTCAAGACAGATTTCCTTAAATTCAGAGCTATATCTTGCTGGCCAACTTCCTCTATAGCATTTGTAATTTCTATTGGTAATGACACAGATCTAGCAACTTCTGTATTTCTCTCCTGACATGAACCTGACACTGCCTCTATCAAAATGTTTGCCTCACCTAATACTGAATTTTCAACATTAGACAACAAAGTTTGAGGTTCATTACTCCACTGTTTACCAATGCTGCTACTCGGATGCTGGCTGTTGTAAAATGTCATTGAAGACAATGACTCCTTTGTTTCTTCAATATCCACAAGTCTTTCAGTTTCAGTCCTAGGCATCCACATAACTCCTGAGCTTGAACTGGAATGTTTACTGGAACTACAATGTTCACTTCTTGGTCCAGACATTGTAGCAGCTTCAGCTTTATTATACATATTCAATTCCTTTTGTGACCTTGAAAATTCAATATCCCTCTGCTTTATTTCATGTGTTAATGTTTCAACTTGTGATCGTAGCTGGGCAATCACCTTGGCTTGTTCGCCTACAATCTTATCTCTCAATGCATTATTATCTTCTGATGTAGATGAATCCTTCATCATGTGTATTTGAGCAATTTCATTGTTACTGCCACTGCTTCGGCAACATTGGCTAGTGGTAGTCAAGGCTGACTCATATGGTGACATGCGTGAAGATTTTATAACTTCCTGCTGTGCAGTATCATAGCTGCTTACTTCACCCTCCTCTATATCATCTTTTAAAACATCTATTAAACTCATATTTACATCACCAGCAGACATCAAAAGGCTGGAGAAGGAATCCATCAAAGGAGGAAAAGAACCATTAGTAAGATCTTGATCATTAATGGACAGTGACACAGAAAGAGATCGAGATAACTCCATGCTACGTTCAATGACTTGCTTCAGCAGCTGCCGATGTTTTGTTCTTAAACCACCTAGCTGTTCTGGATGACTGAGAAGTGAACTAAGAAACCCTGCCACTTCTTCCAACCTCTTTGTTAATAATGAACAGACCTCTCCAGCTTCCTTTCGCCAAACATTTGCTCTGTCAATTTCCTCTCGTAATCTGGCACATTCAGACCTCAGTGTGCGGCTATCATTATCCCTTTCAGGTGTATTACGCAGTCTTTCACGTAACTCCTCCACCTTACGACACAGGTACGTACGTTCCTCAACACTGGCCTGAAGCTGATCACGAAGACATGTAACTTCATCTTTAGAAGCAGAAATTGTTGATGGCATTGCTGAAGTTCCAAGTTCTGCTGTGGGGATGTCACCTGTATCAGTTCTTAAAGTGTCCCCACTTGACACAGAAAGTTGTTGATAATGGACATGCTGATTAAAGGTGACTGGTATCTGTTTAAGTTCCCTCAGCATAAGTGATGTTGGGAGGTTTACTTGTACTCCTAGCTCAGCTACTTTGTCCTGCAACATTTTCAGTTGGAAATCACGAGAACCTATCTGCTGCTGCAAGGACATTATTTCTAATTCCCTCCTCACAGATATACTATTAAGCTGATCCTGCAACTTTTCAATCTCACGGTTTTTGTCCCAGAGTTCCTTGTTTATCAGTTCTTGAAGGCTACTAGCCCGTTTCTGTAATTCTTCATCACGTCTTTCAACTTCCTGATTATTGTCTTCCAGTTGTATCACTAATCCTTCAGACACAGAACTAATCTGGTTTTCCTTTATATCAGAAACTTCTTTTAATTGTTCTTCTCCATCACTCTTCATCAACCGATTCAAATCCTCTTCTAATTCCTTGATGCGGTTATCACGAGCTTCTAATTCATTCACAGACGTTGCAGTTTTCTTTTCATAGTCTTCTAGGAGCATTTCCTTCTGACTTAGGTTTGTTATCAGTGCCTATACCAAAGAAAGAACATAATTAGGCACAGATGTTTAAATATACTGCAACAACCATCTGGAATAAAATAATTTTTATTATTAGGAAAATTTATCTAGATAAAAAGATGCACATAACATTTCCCAAATTTAATATAAAACAAAAAAGTCTGTATATTCTTTCACAGAGAACAAGATACAAAATCTTGGGATGTCGGAATAACTGAAAGTGGATGTTGTTTTATTCGTCCTTTAACACCAAAAATGATTCTGCAGCAGAGCAGACAGTTTCTCTCAGAAAAATCTTGCATGATTCTTCTGTGACACACAATTACTGAAATACAAATGCATCTGTTGCTTTTTAGTGTACAGATGGGCATAAACCAATGGAATGAACTATATACAACTCATGACTTATATTTTCTTTATAAACGTTATATATAAAACTACATAAATGACAACCGATAATTTTCTCACCAACATACTGCTGTTACAATAATTCATTTCTGATACAGAATATACCATTCATTGGTATGAAGTGACTTGGGTATAAATGGGAAGATAATAGTATAGTGGATCTTAGGGAAGTAGGGTTGGAGAGTGTAGATTGGATTCAACTGGTTTAGAAGAGGAACCAGTGATGGGTTCTTGTAAGCATGGTGAAGATCCTTTTCGTTCTTTAAAAGGAGAATTTACTGGCTCAGCGTACTATTAGCTTCTCAAGAAGAACTCTGTTCCATGGAGTTAGTTACAGATGTTTTACAAATGCAGAACCTACATTCGGTCATTTTGCAGAAAACGGAAAATAAATACATAGAAGCCACACAAAGTTTTCAATTCATTTTTATGAAAATGATAAGTTACGAAACTAGTCACAGTGCAATCATTCGCAGGAAAGAAACGAAATTATGCATAAAGTCTGTCTTCTTATTACACATGCCTTCGGTCCTTTTCCAGGCAAACCAAATTAAGACTTGTGTTGAATTATTCACAATATAATTGGATAAATTCAGATTCCTTCTTGTTCCACTGCTAATCTGTTTCATGGCACCCAAAAGTAATGTGTGATATGGAACAAACAGAATTAATTTAAGGATTTATCATTTAATAATTTTATACAAATTTTGTTTCACTTAATGTGTAGCAGTTTTGTCACTTATTCCTAAAAAACCAAGTTTCCTAACATTGTTCTGAACACTTGTGTGGCAAGTTGATAAAACACTGTAATTGTACTCTAACAACCCACAGATTTCAGTAACTTTGTAGCTAATGTTGAGGAATTCAGAATGGTAAGAGCACTGGCTCTTACATGAAGCGATGAGAAAAAACCAAAGAAAAACAGACAGGACAACTGACCCTAGATGGCTCTCATTGCTGAAAATACTTCACTGCATTTAGTCACAGTAACAATTTAAAATCTTATTCTATAATATATAATAGAAAAATAACTTACTTGAACCTGTTTCTCCATCTCAGTAGATAAATTATCTCTTTCCTTTGTTACATGAGCCAATTTCTTGTTCTTGTCCTCCACTTCTGCCCACAATCGCTGAACAACAAACACAACAATTCAAGTAATTGCTACAAAGTGGCATCCAGCTTATTGGCCGTAGCATTGTAGTAATTTTCAGCAGTCTAATAAAATAAAGATGCCACATTTTATGAGGCCCTGAACCCCAAAACCAATTGGAATTCTTAAAAGTCAATGCTATGTAGGTAGTATAAATACATAAGCTTCAAAACACATTATCACATAATATTTGTCTTTATTTTTAAGTTAGATCCATCCCACTACTATTTTTAAGTATCCCCACTGATCACTGAAGTCAGGGAGAAGAGAGAACTCTTCCCATCACATCACTCTTGGAGATTCTGACTGCTAATGAAACTGATGTACCTACAGTCTAAATACTTTGAAAATAAAACTTACTCAAAACACAGCAAATGCTAAACATGGTCTCCACTGTTCCATAAGCATTCTTAACACCCATGTAAAAAGTTTAGATATACAAGAAGTTCAGAGTAGCTGTTCTGCGGTTGCCCGGGGCACTTCTTTACAAAGGTTTACTTGAGTGACTTAGTAAAATCTATTAATATTTTAATATGCTTTACAGTCTGGAGAAGTGAAGGATAGATAATGAAGATTATAAAACTGTACATCAGTATTTCAAAGTGCTGTTTATGAGCATCTGTTGTTTATAGACACATTAAAACTTGCTTACAGAAATCCTCGAATTAAATCATTGTTAAATCAACCAGACACTTTGTTGAATTCCATGCAAACATTTAGTAACAAAAATGCAGAAGACAAAGTTAATGAGATTAAGTACTTCAAAATGATGGTGAAAAAAATACTGGACAAATAGATAACGGGAAGGAATCAAAATAGTTGCAAAGTCAACAGCACATACGAAGATGGACCGGAAAAGAGGCCACGTTCGTTGCTCATGCATTTTCATTATGTCAAGAAAAGAAAAGCAAATGCTACTGCAGACAAACATTGTAGATTCTGACAACTCAAGACCATCTCAGAATGCTACAGCTCCTGTCCTGCTTACTGCATCAATACAAACATAAAGGGCAAAACAGAAAACAAAGAATACACACTATTGTAATATTAACCATAAGAACATAAAATTTGTCAACATGTCCATCAGGTGTCAAACATGACAGTCATTTCAAACACCTGCTAATAACATGTGAGTTACATCACAGAGCATATTAATACAAATATTACTACTAATTGAAAACCATAGGCATCTGTCATGAACGATGTCATAATAAATGGAACATTCCGTAAAGCGGCTGTTATGTTTGATGAAAGACTCTTGGGTTAGGCTGTTATTTTTATTCAAACTGAAATAAAATTATGAATATGTACTCAAGTGATGAGGGCATTAGGATGTTGGGTGCACTTTTCTGTCTTTACATTTTATTTTCATTATATCAGTAAGTTTTAAAACACTATGTACTATATATTTATTATTATGCATTAGCAGCACCTCAAAGTCTTCTAATTCTTAATACAAACATATGCTCTAGACACAGTTAGCTTCAAATGAGCTATTTCTACATTTTTACAGCTGGGTTAAATGTTAAAATCCTTCCTATCATATTGATCTAATGTCCACTTAATACTGAAGATTATATTCTCTGTCTGAGGTCAATATATAATGTGATCAACATGGACTTCATTCTCTTCAGTTGCTATTCAGAAGTACAGACCCGCGCTTCTTATATTTTAACATATTTATGTGAATACAGTACTAATACAAGCAACAACTATATCCTTCAATAAAAAAACAGATTTTTTGTTATATATACCTGTAAGATTTAGATGCTACTCTATGATGTTCCCCAAATATTTTGAATGGTCCCTAAAATTTTAATAAATGTCCACCTCTGGTCAAAGTGGGCAAGTAGTTCACTGACACATTAAGGTCATATTCTTATTATGGCACAAAATTCACGATACCCAGTTCCTTCAGTCTCAAGTCCCAACATACACTTGGAAAAATGGGACAGAGTTATAACCTGAAGGATAATTAAAACCTACAAAGAATGACCACAAAAATAAGCTAATTAAATTTGTATATTTTTTCATACCAGTCTTCAATTTTATAAAAAATGTACAAAAATGTAATAAAGAAATTATGTGAATTGCATTTTGTTGTAAGAAACTGTCCCACTGATGCATTGCACATTAGTCAAGTGCAATACTTAAATCTAGTCTAGACTGCGAGCTAAAATTCAATAAGCAACATAATGCTTTCAAACTGAACAATGAAATTCATTCCTACATGGTAGTAAATCAGCTTAATAAAATTTGTCTTTTAAACAAAGAATTCCAATTAAGTTTAAGAACACAAGTACTAAAAGCAAAGTTATGTTTCAAACAAGCATGGAAACAAAGCTGTCTCTCATGATCTTAAATGCAGAAGCACGTGAAAAATAATGGTTCTGAATTTTGTTGGCACAGAACTAAAAATAATTACAGTACATGATGGTGAAATTACAGTTGCATTTCATGCAAGACACTGAAGAACAAACAGCTCTTTATGCTAATTATATTATTTATACTCTCAGGTCATAACAGGATAGAGAAAAGCTATTATCATGCAATTTATATCCCAAAATAATAGAAGAATCACGTGTAAGCTATGAAGTGACAGCATACAAATCCCTGCACGTAATAAGCATTCATACCTCATTCTCCTCCTCAGTCATGTCACGGACGTCTTCAAATGCACCTGGCATCCCACAACCACCCTGCACCCGAGCCTGCGCTTGCAGTTGATGAGCTTCCCAGTTGGCTTTGTTGCAGGCATCCTGCAATTCATTCACCTCTGACACCAGGTCACAAATACGTGAATCTTTCTTCTTTACATCACTTCTGAGCTGTTCAATTTCTCGGCCCATATCCTTTGTCCGCTTCATGAAACTTTTAATTGCCTGGCAAGCTTTAAGATAATCTTCCTCAACCTTTTTCAATTTACCTTCTACATCTTTCATTTTCTTTTCAGTCTCCTGAAGTTTGCACTCAGCATTCTGCCAACAAGACTCTAACTCCTTCACTTTCTCTTTCAAAGAATTAGCTTCCTGTCGAACTCTTTCATGTTGTTTTCTCAATACCTGCTGGCTCTCTTCAACAATCAACTTTTCCTCCCTCTCTCTTAATTCCAACAATCGGTTCCTAACGGTTCCATCCTCTTCAGAACTTCGATGACCCCATCTTCTGGGAGACGTTTTTCCATCTGATGCACTAGAGAGGTTGCTGCTTCTACGCCTAAGAGGTGAAAGTAAATCAAGTCCTTGTTGCAAATGTTCTCGACTGCGATTGTTAGCGCGCTTCTGCTGAGCTTTGAAAGTTTCAAGCTGAAAAATTAATGACCTTACATTTAAAACAGCTATGGAAACGACACTTTTCACTTAAATTACACTTTCTTTTATGGGACATTATAATAAAAAAAAATATCAAGGAGCAGAAACAAGTATATAATTTGGCATATTACATAAATAATACAAAATATTAATAAAGTATATTACCTCTTCTCGAAGTCGATTTGCTTCATGAACTGAAGCATCCAGTTTTGCCTCTAGATTACGAGCATTAGTCTTTGCCTTGGCAAGCCGGCCTTCCAAGTCTGCGATAGACGAATCGCGGGCTACAAGCGACGATCTCAAAGCTTCAATCTGCCGCTGTTTTTCATCTAGTGTGATCTGAATTTCCACAAGAACTTTGTTTTGCTGTTCAATCTGACTCTGTTTTTCTTCAATAATACGATCTCGTTCACACAATTCTTGCACCTGCAGTCAGAAATGTAAATAAATTACTCAAAATAAACCAATGACAAGACTCCTCAAGTTGCAAGAAGTGTTTGCTGGCCATAATTTTAAGTTCACTGCTTGCTAGAAAATTATGGCTTCATAGATATTTCTATAGACTATATAATACAAACAAAAAACTGGGTATTTCAATAGACAATTTACTGCATTTGTCTTGCAAAGCAGGAATTAATTTTATGAAAAATAAACTAAAAACATTCTGACACGTAATCCGCATCTTTCTTGAACACAATTAATTGCTTGTTAGAAACCAATTCATTTGTAGCATTTAAGTACACCAACATCTTTGAAATGCATTATACCTTGATCTGAATTTCAGGCTCTTTGGCACTTAGCGCTTCTTCCAGTGTCCTTATTCGCAGATTACAACCTGCCAGATCCTGTCCTCTGTGCTCCAATTCCTGCACCAAGTCTTCTAATTTATTGTCACGCTGTTTCAGTTCAAATTCAAGCCCTTGACAACGTACACCAACGCGCTCAACTTCCTGCTGCGCTTCCTGCAGATCAGCCTCTAACTGATTTGAACGAATTTCTTCTTCTTGCAAGGTGCATTCCAGTTGTTGAACCTATGCACATCAGAACACAGAAAATAACACACAGAAATATACTAAACTGTTGTTACAATGAGAAAATATTATGCACAGGAAAAGAACTATGAATAAAACCTTTTGCTGAGGAGTTAATTGCGAAAACAGATTATGTTTCATTTATTGACCTGTATTGATTGGAAACAATGCTAAATGAACAGGAAGAGGATAAGACAAAACACAGTAAATTTTATTATCTGTATTTGAAATGTTGCACCATGTAACTGGTACTGTCCACAGACCAGGAGAAAAGCCCTGCGGAGGGAAGTCGTTCCTGGGGCGGTGCAGGGGGAATGTTTACTATCAAGTGGACTGGAGGGCTGCTATTGGTGGGAAGTTTGATATGTCAGAGTTTTACACTACTACACACAGACTGAAAACATCACGCAGTTAAGAGTGGCGTGTAGTGAGTGCACCTCTAATGTGTTCTGTAGGTGTTATCATAATATTCTAGATTAAATCACTGTGAGGTAATCTTAAAGCTATATACATCCGAGCACATGAAAACCTGTCGTTTGTTGTTCGTTCAGTGGTTGGGGAACAAACGCTTTTAGGACAGATCGTCACTCACTGCGAAATCTTGCGCATGCACGTATATCACATTCCTAGCAGGGCTTTTCTCCTGGTCTGTTGACTGTAGATACACACTACACCACACAGTGCAACATCCCAAAAGACAACTATCTTCATACTCGTCAGCTGAGAACATCAAATCTCACTTCTTTTAACTAACAGCAATGTGTAAAGATAAACATGGGCACAGCGGACTACTGAACATGTTTTTGTCAATGATGGTCTTCTGGGTTGTAACACAATGCAGACTTGTAGGTAAATTTGCCATGTTTCTCCAAACCGTCGGTATCTATCTGTCTACATGGTGTTACAACCCAGAAGACCAACATGACACATTCAACCCCACTTTACGTACGTCATCTCACATTTTTCTTAAACGGTGTATGTTCTACTTCTTTTCTGTTCATTGATGGAAAATATTAGAACAGTGAATCTGGTTTTGGTACTGTCCCTGCATTTGCCAGTAGGAGCTGAATATCACAAAAACTATCAGTCATAGTGGACACATCTGGATTTGAGTGATGGATATACTAATAATTGCAAATCTTATAAAATGTATAGTTTTAAGAACTGTGAATAAGACAAAAGTCATACTGAGACAGCAAACACATTCCAATCTGTACGGTACCAAATTTCTTCTCTGCCACATACTGCCTTAAAGCTGAAAATGCTACCAGCACTGCATTGCAAAACAAAAGGTAAGACCAATGGACAAGAATGTTTTGCATACGTGTGTCTCACTTCACTTTTAGTACTTAACGATGAAAATAAGAAATTATACAAAAAAGAATAAACTGGAATTAATTTAATGACATCTGTTTCTTAGACAAACTTTCATAACTTACTTGTGCTTCTAATTCTTCAATATGCTGCTGTAATGTTTTTACTTCTTCACGAGTGTGGTGATCTATACAAGTATTTGTCGTACGAAGTCCAAATGCATCAGTTATAAATGATGCAGAGTCTTCGAGTTTATAATAATGTGGGTCTTTAAGTTTGTTCTCATGTTCTTTCAGAGCCTGTAGAGGAAAATTAATAAATGGTCACAAACAACTAGGTTTGCTGGTTATCTGTATTCTTTTGCAGGTTCTGCACAATTAATAAGAACTAAATAATAAATCTTGAGGAAATGGGTGTGACTCATATTAAGCAATGTTTGCATTCAATGTACTTTCTAGCACAAACAATTAAAACATATCAATTTATCATAAATTCTGTAAGGTTTAAGATGTAAAAGATTTATAATTACATGAAGATAATTTATTTACAGAACACACAAATTCTCTTAATGACATTGTATACGAGAACATGGAGTGAAGGATTCTCAGCGTTTGCCAGTCCAAGATAGTGAAGGGGACAACATTATTTAACACAGACACCACGGGAACAATGAATGTGGTGATAAAACACGGACTTCAGAATATTCAATAACACTTTAAACTTACAGTCTCCAGCTCTTGTATTCGCGACTCCAATATCCCTTTTTCTAAGTCCTTTTCCTGCCCGATATTCTTTAACTCCTTCTGATGTTGTTCCTCCATGAGGTCCATAGCTTTGGAGGCCTGACATAGCAGACCCTGTTTATCTGATACCTCTTTCCTCAGAGACTCCGCTTCCACCTAACACATACAATGCGTAAACTTTCTATAATTCTAATGACTGACAACAATATACAATGATACCATTATAATATCTTAGATTAAATCTAAAATATTTTGGTTATGTTGGGGAAAGGGTATTAGTAAATACTGTATTTATAACAAACTTTCTAAAAAATAATGTTGCTATGATCATGTCCCATAGCAGGCCACTCAAATTTACAAACATGCCAAGGTCTGGTCCATTTGCAGACAAGAGATAATAATAAAAAAATGAAAGGGACTGTGGATGCATTTATTTTGTGATGTGTGTTGCACATACACAACGACTTACAATTTCAGGCTGTAAAACAATAATACTGTGAAAGGTAAGTATGTTGTGTGTGTTTAATGCAGTTTTATATATCTGGTCATCAGCCATAAAATTATAATATTTTCATGTTTCTTTTAAGTTGTTATATTACCTGGTCAAACAACAGAAAAAAATTGACTTCATAAAAAACAACACTTTACCTTCAATTCAATATTCTTTTTCACAGCATCCTCTTTGTCATCAGGACCATTCATGCGACCCATTCTTTCTTCTAAGAAATATATTCGCAGCTTCAGATTGAAATTCTCTTTCCTTAGCTGGGACAACTGTTCTTCGTACTCTTTCATAGTGCGACCTCGGATGGGAGAGGTCTTTCCTGGAGACCGTAGGCCCATTGTAACTATTGAAAGAGAGAGAGAGAAAAGTTGTTTTTTTAACACAGAAACAAGATTTTCAGCAATTAATTTAGAACATTTTGAAGTGACAATTCTTGCAGAAAATGGTATCCTTACGGAAAATTGTCGTTTTAATTAAGCCTTAATTGATAAGAACAGAACATGAAAAATAATGGACTATTATAGTGACATGAAAGAATCTGATACAAACACTGTCTACTCAAACTTCCAATGCTGTGCTAGTATAAACCATGACAACTACCCTCCTAAACTAGAAAAATTCATTGCACGTAATTACTTAACACTACAACTGCTTCCATTAGCCTCTGCTATTCAATGGAAACCAGTGACATTGGAATGAAAACGACATTCCAGACTTGCTGTATATATACAATGGAATGTAAAATGTTGCTATTTGGCGACTTACGAAGCGTTAAACCAGGCCACTCGACTACCAAATGTCCGAATCTTTCAGACAGACATAAAATTAACAAATACACTACAATTTATAGTTTAAAGTTATTTAGGCGCAAATTATACATTAAGTTGTAAGGATAAAATTAATATATTATTCGTGTAACAGCTCTGATTTCAAGTGACCTGTAACACTTACTGTTGCAGTTCATAACGTGTGTTGCAGTCTTTGATTCTTGACGTCTGTTGCCATAAAGCTCGCGTCTTACATGTGAAGCATATCACTGCTCTACGAAGAACACAATGAAGGCAAGCATACATTGTCTTCAATTATATCTTACGACACGCCCAAACCCGCCCGAAGACAGCTGAACCAGAAAATAGATATTCTGCTGACTATTTGCACACGAAATTCACACAACGATACCGAACTTCTAAAACATTCTTTTAACAATCGTGGACCGGATGAAATACTGTGAAGGCCAAGACAACACAGATTATCGTATGCTGTGCAGCTGCACTTCAGCATATACAAATCAAACAAATATTTATAAATTCCACTTTATATTCAGGCCAACACGCCTTCCTATCTGAGTAAAACAACAATGTGAAATGCGGTATTATTGTTTTGGCTAGATTAACTCTGAATTGTGCTGTGCTATTGCAAACATGAGCAATTTTCTGATGCGATGGGTCGATACTGAGTTTCTGCCTAACTGGACCGTTAACGACCCCACTGTCCAAGTGATGTAAGACTGAATATGGAGCAATGGTGGAATGACAATAGTGGAAAATTGAAATACTCGGAGAAAAACGTATCCGAGCGCCACTTTTCCAAAAAATTCCAATGGACTAACCCGAAAATATGAATAAAACAATAACTGCCCATTTTGGCAGAAATTCTTAAGAGATATACACTTCTCTGAGTCACGCAGAATTAAACTATAACAATATAAAATTTCTCGGTCTCACAAACATGTCCTGCGATAAGATTTGAGGTTTCTCAAAGAGGCGTGTATAAAGATGGCTCCCTGATAAATGGAGGCAGGAAGTACCTTTGAAACCCTGGTAAACTTCTACCAGACTACACGGCGCTACAACCCAGAAGACAGCCATCTTCGTTCATTATCGTAACCAGATAAGCTTGCCATCGGTCTGATGAAAATTCAGGAAGGACATAAAAATCTGATGACAGCCAATGTCCAAGGCAAAATAGATTTCGGAATCTCCAGAAAACAAACCACTACATAACATTTTGTAAACAAACAATAAAACTTTGCCATGTATAAATTGCTACAGCGCCTTATTTCAGTTGTGCGCGCGAAGTTGAAGGCCATGTCCAAACTTACAACAATCTACCAGTTCCTTTAATGTTATTTTTGTCTGGCAAATAACAGATTTCCAACTACAAAAATAATCTAGATCAACGTAGGGTGCAAACCAGCAAACAACACACCAGAAAATGTGTGTACTCGGACTGTTTGCCACGTGTCTGTGGGTATAGAGAAAAGTTGGCAAGGATGTGAATGGAAGACATAAAATTAAATATAACACGCAATTACTCCAAACAATGAAAGGGGGTTCCCATCTCAATCACAAAACGGAAAGGTGGAGTACACCAGATCATATGTGTATAGGAGATTTAATTTTGCATCGTCAATAAATGATGATTGCACAGTGCAACTGCACGACAGCGGAAGACCAGCACATGTGTTCATCATCAAAACCTACAACTGGCGGTCAAATAATTAGGCTGCTTGGTGATGACCCGCTCCTACCTCATTCCGTCGAAAGGTCTTTTTAAGTTTGTCCTAGGTTTCTTAATACAGGTGATTTGCAGTTCTTTATTAGTCTGGGAAGTTATCTCTTTGCATTCTGTTAACACGTTGAATCCAATCGGTGTCACATTTTACAATTTTTTTTTAAATCTCGACTTTAGAAATTTTCAATGTCTGTTTCCTTTGTAGCCCATCCAAAAATTCTTCGATGTCCTCACAAATTTAATTTCAGTTGCCGCAGAAAACATGTTACGTTCCGCATTTTGGAGGGTCTAGGTTTTAATTTTGAAATATACGTACTGAGGTTCCTTGGAATTAATGCCCAATTAACACACAGAATTTCACCATATCGGCAATGCAACTTGCATTCGGGCAGTACCTGGTTTGAACATCGGCTTGAAAACAACAGAAAATACACAAAATTTCCCAGGTGTTTTAATATAAACTGGTAATAGAAATGCCAAACAACAGAGCGAAATAACAATCTTAACTTTCTGTTAACCATTTAAAGCTCGACACTTATCAAAACAAAAAGCCTATTTAATACTCTGGCCCTTACCTCTAAAAAATACACGGCATCTGCTGATGTTTACTGAAATGAGAGCTGTTAATGCAGAAAAATTAATATAATACATAAATACATCCTTTGGGCAAAATTCAATGAACGTTAAAGCATCTGGTACACAGTTACCATTGTTCCTCAAAAGATTAATCTTTAATCACAGAACATTTGCCTTTTATCTATCAGCAACCCATTTCTTACCCACCACGATGAGGAAAGAAAATATTAAATAACGATACACCGACATGATACTGAATGAATAAAGCAGCCTTTGTGCTATGGTAACCTTCGGGAAGAGATCCCTTTTCACAGCCTGCTAACTGAAATGGCGTATTAAATTCTCTAGCGTCTCATCGCCTGTTGAGTGCAAGATCTTAACAATTTCAAACACGTAGGCGTCCGTAACCATAAAGAAAAGCTACGCCGACGATTCGTGGATTCAAGCAAATCTTCTTCAGTCCGAGATTGCACAGCGCCAGACTTCGGCTGTGGCCTCAGTGGAAGCGGATCCGACCGAATCGAACTCCTTCCGACTTGTCTGACGAAACCAAACATTCAAAATTCTGCAGTCTCCGATCGAAATTTTACGAAGAAGTTCCAGAGAAAAAGTTACTTTTTTTCCCCCGACCGGTCGGGATGACACTTCAATGCGTTTCACTTGTTCAAAAGCATGTACAGAAATCCCCTCACCAAGATGGCCTTGTGGTTATCGCACAAACATTACATTCTGAAGGTCCGGGTTAGGTCCCAACCGTTGACGTTAATAACAAAATTAAAAAAGTGGCAAAAATATGTCGGTATGAAAATATAAATAGGAAAGCGGATAATGCACAAAATCCGTTCTTATATTGAGCAACAAAACAGAATTAAAACTGAATTCTTTACTTTACAGCTACACTGAATTTTTTTAGTGTGGCATCAAAGATAACACCAGTTGAAATAAAGCCACACAGTCCTTCAGTTTAGTCTACACTTCATATCTAGATTTTTCTATTCGGAGAACATTTACATGGCGCACAAACTGAAAAATCTTAAAGATGTGTGGATTACGGACGTTACCAACTTATTTCATAATAATGCAATTATAAACAGGTCTACAGTGAATCACGCGGTCATATTATGAACTACGTCTTATTTCTTACAATGAGAGAGACTACGAAATACGACATCGACATGATAGGCCACATACGACCCGTGGCGTCACATCCCTGGGTTAGAGCCAATCTGAAGCCTGGCTACGACGCGACGACCAAGTACGTTAACATTTACTCGAGAGGTGGCAAGAGGATAGATATTTTTAAACTCTATACTAGAAATGTAACGCAGGTATGGAAGGCCTACACAAGTTTCCAAAAACTGGAACCTTGGGCTAGTTGGTTAAAAAGACGCGACCTGAATATCCTCTGCTCAAGTAGATGAAAAGTTTTAGTAATCAGGGTGATCGCTCTGATGATTGAGACAGCAAGCACCTCTTAAAACGTAGGTAAACTTATACAAGACTACAGGGCGCAACAGCCCAGAAAGACATTTTCATATTCGCCGCCGTGAAAACCTGAAATCTCAAGAGTTTCAGCATGAAAGCAAACCCAGAGGAAATTACTTTTTCATTAATTTTCGAAGTTCCTGGTCCTAACGCTTGCCAGGGTTTTCAAGGCTTTACACAATCCCCGCGAAAAAAATGTTGTACCTATCTTCCTGTGTCTTCTGACCTTTTTCCAACTATCACATTTCTGTATTCAAAACAGCGTCGTAAACTAACCTAAGGAACTGGGAAAATAAACGTTCTATTCCAAAGCACTCTGGTATAATCACATGGATTTAAATTCTCATGAAGTTCAGAATAATGACACAACAGTAACCTGGATTTTAAATCACGTGGGTCTACAACCGGAATCAGAATGATAAGAAGAAAATTTCATTACCGTCTATTTCAACACGTTCGCCATCCATTTCTGACAAAATTCAAGTAATTAACTAAACCAAAAACAAAAATTTAAGGAGTATCTTTTTTCGAAAATTCACACCCCCCAACCCCAAAATTCTTAACTATTAAAACCAAACGGTAACTCAACATACACCTGCTTCAGCAACAAATAACTCTCAATTTTCTATTTACGTGTATTCTCACTGTAAACACTAATCATTTCTTAAACAGAATTAACCGGGCTGATCTGTGTACCGGCGAAAAGTTGTTTTCTTTGCGATTGGGACAAATTCTTAAGTATTATCAGGTGAGCTGTCAAAGAGTTAATGAATATTCCAGCATAACCCATGAAGGTTAGAGGTCGAAACACCACACATTAATTCTGCTGCTTTAACTCTGTTGTGTTCCAAGCCCGGTTACTGTATGGGCAATTCTATCCTCAAACGTTTACCAGAAAACGCGACGCTGTATTTAAGATGGTACAGTGGCTTCAGATCTCTCTGCTGATATTGCATGACCTTTGCGACTATTAAAACTAGTGACGCAAGTTTCTAAAACGGTTGCAAACAAACTGGAGCTCTTTCATGTACTATAGCTACGCTGCAGGCCACGGAATCGGATTTGTTTGTTTCTGTGTCGTAACTTGTTTAACGATGGCATGCCAACTGATGGGATCGAGTACTGTCGAATAAGTAGAAAATATACGTGGGTTGCTACAAGCTTCAGAGATGAGGAAACTAACGAAAATGCTAGTAGGATACTGGGCTCAAACAGAAACAGAAATTTTTGGATAGAGTACAGTAATAAGAAATTTGTATCACGATCAAAGGCCAAGACAATCAAACAAAATCAAGTACACACGCCCGCTTTTACAGAAAACGTAAGGTTAATTTTCGTACGCATACGTCGCCAATGGACCCTATCCTAAACAAGAGAAATTCACGTTTCAAGTAGGATTTGAGGTTTTCAGGGCAGTGTAGCACCCTGCAATATGACAGAAGTTAACCAACGTGTCAAATTATCGCTCTGATGATGGAAGTAACAAGGATCTCTGGAACATTTGTAAACTTCTACCAGACTACACGGCGCTACAACTCAGAAGACAGTTTACATCTTTAAAAAAAGTTACGTGAAAATAGAATTAAATATATTTTCGCGTTCTGGATCAATTTCCTAGTTACAATCTCAGTTTCCTGCGTCAGAACGTGTTCTGCGTTTCAGAGCGAGCAGCCGCTACAAATGCTTGCCCAGACATAAATTTAAGCAATGCCTATTTTAATTTACTAAACAGCATTTCACAACGTTGGAAATTTTATAAACAAGCTCAAATCGTGAGGCCTAAACATTTCACTGAAATAAACATATGGAAATGTTACATCCGACTCAGGGATCTTAAGATACATTCTGTGAAGCAGCAGATCAGGAGCAAAACGCTTCATTAGAAGGCAACAGTTTCTCGGCCGGTCTAGAAATTCAACATTTTCATAAGTCCATCATCAGACCATATACCAAACTACATTAATCTAATCCGCACTCGCCTATGCTGTTCTTCAAGATACTTTTAAAATGTATCTTAATACCATTCTTCCACCAATGACGAAATATCCAAGTGACATCTTCGTTTCCTGACAAACACTGTGTATACATTTCTCACTTATCTTGTGTGTACTACATGCCCTGCCCACCTGATCCTCCTTTATTTGACCTTCTCCATAATATCTGGCCTAGAATAGGCCTACAAATTGTCAAGCTGTTTATCAGGCAGTTTTTTAAGTTCTGCATTACGATGTAAAATAAAACATTTCCAACCACCAAAGTCAGTAAACACGACTCCACCTAAAAACAGCATAAAACCCCGTCCTCGCCGAAATAACATTGCTTAAAACGCTGTTATAAACATTAACTGTGATCACTGTTATAATAAACGAAAATCAAAGTTGGGAGAAGTTTAGTTCGTTTAACATAAAAAACAAATGTTTGTAACAATGCTTTCAGCAATGTTATTTAGGCGTGGACTGGACTTACCATTGCTGGAAACATTTATTTCTACCCATACTTTAATTTTTATCGACATCGGATAGAAATTTTGCCAATAACACTATTGAAAACATGTTTGTTAATACAATTTTCTCACAAATCTTGGAACTTATGTTAACAATATCCCTAGCAACACGTGTTTCAACAATTGTATTTAAATGTGAACGGGAGTTAACATTCGAGCCCACCTAATCAAATGATTCGTAGAATCCGCTCCTGAAACAGCTGTCTTAGGAGGGGAATCCCTGCAAAGGCCACCCCACTTGAAACCTCTTTCAATCGAGCCTCATTATTCCACAGGCCGTAAATAATGGTAATAACAGTCACAGTTTTGTTCCGTTTTATGGCATCTTATTTTTAAAGCACCTACAAAACATCACCGGATTTCCGCCATGCTTGTTCCTCTTTCGGCATCATCACCCCCTTCCTCTGGTTTTAGGAGCAGAGATACGAGACGTCAGAAGAATAACCCCCTCCTTGGCTGCAGTTATGTTACTTATACATAGCATCCAACACGTAAACTCGGTTCTTAACTACGACAAACATCATTTATTATGTTATGTAGTGACACAAGAGAAAATTAGAGATCAGACCGATTCCAGTCCACCCTTTACTGATGTTCGAATTGCTTTCAAAACAACTCTAATATCGCGTCTTAGTGATGCTGTATCAGCTGCTAAAGTCGTAACCGAGTTATGGCCGAATGGATGGATAAAAACGAATAAGCCAACCGATAGCCCAAATCTAATTTGATTCTGCCTTCTCCTTCTCCATTTACCCCCCTCCCCTCCACCATTCTTGTCTCCTGCGACCTTTCTGTTATCTGAAAACCTGGGGTTCTCAACCTCTCCCAGACGCCGGTCAAATTTACACTTGTTTACGACTCGAGGCCCGCAAGTTGGGAGGACAGTTTACTGAATCTTCATGGCAATTTATTAGTAATATTACTAACTTAATCAATAGGTTCATACATATATCACTCAACAACTATCTTTTACAAAATCAGTCATTTGGCGAGACATGAGACGCTGGTTTTTGCTTGGGTGATCTTCCAACATACGATTTAACTTCTGCTCCTGAGATACGCACGTGCCCTTCCAAATGTGAACCGATCAGATGGATTAGTTTTCACTAAGCTGAACATTTGCTCCTAGCGACAAACACTGCCGAACAGTGACTGCATTAACAAGACGTATTGTCTGATACTGGGAAATTATTTATGAAACAGGTTAACAGTTGTCTTTTTCTTCTTCTTCGTTGTTTCTGTATTCATGTCCGGGCAGTAAACTAAAAAATATCACCCGATAAACTGCGTTATCGAACTAATTGGGATGCTTACTTTTGTAATTAATTCCAAAGTACTGATTAAAATCCACATATTTAAACTCAAAAGCCAGCAGTCCCTCAACTAGACAAGAAATTCCCCGCCTTTTATAGAACTTGAAGGTTCACTATAGCAGTGGTATTCAACCTGGGGTACGCATACCCCCGGGGGTACGTGAAATTTAAAAATATATATATTTTATGATAAACACTGAATAATCAGTAACGTAATTTATTTAAGATGTAGATAATACACTGTGTATAACTTTAATTATACACCAACAACTTCAGGGGTACAAAGTTGAAGAGAAATTATATATGGGGGTACGCGAACAAAAAAGGTTGAATACCACTGCACTAGAGCATTAACAGCCAACAGAAACTGGACTCTGAAGTGAACCAAAAGAATTTCAAGAATATCTGAATGTAAAAATGATGTACTTACATGGAATGGTTGCATTTGCACTCATATTTGGATCCAAGGTAACATCCTGCAACTGACTAGGACTTGTGCTGTAACAACAAAACATACATTTAACTTATGCTAATAGTAATTAAGGTAAAAGTACCATCAGAGGTTGTCATCACCGATTATCACACTACGAATGCAAGGTTATCTCGGGTTAAATATAAAACTGATAGTTTTATCACTCATTTGAACCAAATATCATCTCTTAAAACACATAAAAATTGTCAAATTAATAATACATTCGATATATGCAGAGAACTGCTACATCCACAGCAATTCCTCATTAAAGTTCGAGAGAATATAGGATTTCGTGTTAAGACAGAAAAAAAGTAACACGGAATACGGCATCTAAACGGCAAGTAGACTGTATAGCCCATCTAAAAATGTTTATCATGCGAACAATCTAAATGTCTCAAACCAGAAGGTTCTCTCGGCAGCGAAGATAAAACTGCATTAAACAAGAGTGTTTGAAGGGGTAAGTTCATGGAAGTTTACACGGAATGGTTACTCGCGTGTACTTGTAGAAGAATTGAACCTGATACAGATGCAAGGTTTGATCATTTGCTAAGTTGGATACCAAGCACAAGCTCATGAATTTCAATTTCCAATAACTTTTCTGCGTCTATTCTTAATACAACTGTCTTTTTCATGCGGAGCGAAACAACATTAATGACTAAAACTGCAAACACTGTTCGAAGAAAATTTCGAAATGCTGACAATATTACAACTGGGTTGCTGATGAGATAGTTGTTCGTTATGGCATCTGCGTGATAAATACGTGAAAGCAGAACCCAACCATGGACCAATGCAAGAATGAATAGTGCCGAGGTTAAGAATGAGTAGGAGCTATATCCTCTCCCATCAAGTGGCTACATGACGTGTAGTGGGACAGCTTTTATAAAAAATTGGAAACAAAATAACCCTTCTGGCCAACAATTTGGACACCACTGCCTTGAGTTATTTTTACTAAAATTAAATGAGTCTGTACAGTTAAAGGGGACTTCCTGCCTGTCAACCAAGAGTGAATCCATTCCAATACGACACGAAACATAGAAAAGACAGGAAGACAAAAAACAACAAAATAAAGAAGAAAAGAAAACAAAATATTGAGGAAATAGAACATAAGAGGGAAAGGACGCAGACATTTGAGAGAGACAAGATCTAAAATTATCAACGAAGAGAGAAAAAAGACGTACAAATTTCCTAAGAATTCCTTTCTGTTCCACGTGGAATAATGTCAGACTGAATGGATTCCCGAGTCATAGGTGTGGTTCCTGCGTTAAGAGCCAAGAGTAACACAGACCAGCTGTTATTTCAGCTCATATTCCGAACAAGTTTCCTGTAAACGCAAGGAGTTCTTTCCATGTGGAATATTGCTATCGAGGTCTTACGATTCTCCACACGCAACTCAGATATTCATAAAGTAAGATACTGAATACAACGAATTCTTCTTCGATTTAATAATTACAAAATGAGCTTTTATTTTATCACTTGCACATTCTCACAGGTCATGTTATGTCATTTGATTTGTTTGTCACCCACGATTCATCTGCCACTTTCATTAAGCTGACAGATGCTTGTGTGGATGTAAAGAGGAGCAATTTGGCTCGTCATCAAGTTACACCAGAGTGGTAGGGCGGATTGATGAGTCCTTCCACTCTACTGACACCGTCGGCTAGAGAGTCACGGAGAGGTGCAGGAACATCCTCATCAAATGTGACCACAAATGTTGGTAGGCAGAGAACATATGAGAGTCACAATATCACATCATGTGGTCAATGATTAGGCACATAACGTATAACTACAAACAGACCGTTCTTGCATACTTTACTTACTTCCTAAACAAAGAATTATAGTATTATGGCCGTGTGTATCCATCTGTCCCTCAAAAACTTGTGAGCCGAACGATTTTGTGCTTGAGCCACGGGACGTCACAATCATTACTGTGGCACAACTTCTGAGGTGGCAGAAACACGAAGCCCATGAAGTATAGGCCTTGAGAAGCTAACAGTACCCTCAAGTACTCTATAAATTCTCCGCCTTTTGTAGAAGGATCATTATCGTAATCACAATAGCAGTCACCGGTCCCTACCACGATCCAGATTAATCCAATCCACGCACTTAAACCCCATTTCCCGAAGGTATTTCCTACGTGCAGTACATACTGGCTGCTTCAAATTCTACAGCACATGATATATGGGTAAGCAGCCTGCTAAAAATAACGCATCCATTGGCTAAATTTATACAGTAGATTTGTTATACGCGTAACCTACATATTACACGCTACACGTGTGTTGCTCGTAGTTACTACACCGTTTCATTATTCGTCTATTTTTCAAAGCTCAAATTCTGGATATGGAATATCTGTAATGACGGTTTGTCCGTGTTTTCCTCAGTTCTTCCTAGAAAATGCAAGGGAAATAACTTAAAAGTACGTGTCGTTTGTTTCTACATTCTACCATTTTCAACAACACGAGAAAACCTTTGTGGTTGATAAGAAACTACTCTGGCTAAAAACAAACAAGAAACGATCAGCGTGAAGAATATAAAATTCATAGACTATGAGAAAAACCTCTAGAAATAACTCAAGTCAGCTTCAGTTGCCGAACAAGTAATTAGGGTTCTTAGAAACAACTATAGAGCAAGTCTGAGACACAGGAATTCGTCTACCTTGTGAAACAATATAATCTAGCAGAAAGCACGTGTAGCAGAAACGTGCCAGATTGCGACTTGTAGGCCACACACAGTAGGCATTCGTTCAGCAAAACACAATTAATCATAGCCGTTCATGGCCCGAGAACCAAACATTTCAGCTAATTATATCCAGAGTAATCATGAACAAATGTCCTTTTGTATTTGAATATAAACTAAATACTACAAAAATACAACAAAATAAGCAGCACAATTCTGTAGTGGAAAGCCACTAATAAACGCAAAAACACAACATTATGTTTATATAACATCACATGAAAAGCAACATTCAATTATGGGAGTAAAATTCTGATCTTAGAAGGAATTCCCCAAATGCGTTTTTGACACCCACGCTTCACGCGTTTAGACCACCTATAACCAAAAACGACGAAGGGTAACGAAGAACGTCCTGGGATTCATAGAAACAGGCCATGATTATAATCATTATTCACAATTTCAGAAGTAATTCTGAACTGGAACAGGCCACATGGGCTTAATCCGTAAAAGTATTAAGAAGATCGATAAACAGACAAGCAGCTACTAACTAGCGAACATGAATGCAAAGTTAATGGACGAAAACTAACCGTAATGTAAGTAGGAAGAAACAAAGTAGAAAAACTTGAGTAGACATACATATTAATATGTAAGACAAAGTCATACTATTAAACACTAGGCAATTTAAATAAAATGTAAACAAAATACACGCATCAAGGAACAATACAAACAATTAAAATCAAAATAACGCGACGAAGAAATAATTTATTTTCTCGGTCTTCGTTTTTCTTATATGCAGTAGACATTCTTCAGAATTTGTGTTCAGCTGTTTGTGGAACCGAAGGTTCATTTATCAAATTCCCTAATGCCCGCCCACGGACGCTATTTTGAGTCAAATTAATCCAGTACATTTACATCCTATATATAACATATCCTTCATCTACGCCTAGGTCTTCCAATCAGTCTCTTCCACTTACGTTATGTAAAGTAAGAATTATCAAATAGCACCAAAATTAAATTCGCCCTACAATTTTTAATGCAGCCCCCCCCCCCCCCCCCCCAACACCAAATTAAAATAGAAACTCGTGCAGCAGTTTTGAGATGAAACACGCGGACTCTCAGACGCGATCTTCCCATTTTGCATTCATTTTATGCGCTTTGTGCAAATAACGCATAAAACCAAAAACATTTTGTTCGCTTCTTTTCATACAGTAATATTTGAACAACGCATCCACAGGAAAGTAACCCAACAACTGAACGTATTAAACTAAAGAAAGTACGAGAAGTGACCCTTGATCATGCATATTCTAGTGCCACTGAACGAAAAAGATAAGGGATAACTATGTACTATTTACAATGTGAATAGACTAGTTGTACAAACAGAAAGCAGTCCAATGGGCAATACGAAAGCGATGTCGTGACCCCAGTCTTGTAGGTTTCAGAGCGCAGTCAATCCAAGTAGTTTACATATTTTTATACATGCAGCAATGACCCATGGTCCTCGAAGGAGAATGGATCTTCATAATTTAAAATACATATAGTTAAGGTAAAAGATGCCCTGACTTCGTAACAACGAAGCAGAATCCTTCTTGAGAAGCTAACAGACGCTCAGCTATGTAGTCAAGGAACTATCAGTCTTTTTTGGAGCCATAAAGTTCATTACCATGCTCACAAAAGCCAGCAACACGTCCGTATATGGAACCAGACCAATCTACTCATTAATCTGATGGTAGAGGCAACAACCACCTCAGAAACGTCGGTAAAATCCTACCAGACTACACGGCGCAACATCTCAGAAGAAAGTCATTTTCACACTCGCCACCATGAGAACCAGATTTGAATCCAGTCCACACCCTCACACAGCATTCTTCAAAGAACGGCATCCTTCCATTAAGAAACAATATCCTATTACCCTAACTGACAAACAATATGTACGAAAATTCCTGTCATAATTTGAACTCCTTTATCCATCAAACAATGTACAAGAAATAAACGAATATTACATAAGAGGAACTCTGGGAGTTAGTACATTCGCTCCTTGTATTCCGTTCCTTTTGTAATATTTAAGATTCCACTTCGATTCCAACAGCCACATGACTTATCCAACTGTAGTCGTTAATGGTAATCGATACATTACACTTCCTCAATCAAATTGACACCCTGTAACTGCAATAGAACCCATCTCCCATTGAAGTTCCCCCGATCACTTTGAAATACAAAAAATCAAATAATACGAGCACTCTCGCTCAATCGGCGTAGACAGGACAGACTGAAGGGGCAGTTAATCGAAAAGCGGCTTATTCGAAGACATTCTTCGCTTAGAGAAGCAATGAAAAGTAATATGAATGTAGCACAGAATGAGAAACCATCAATGGAATTTTAGTAGGCATAAATTATTAATTACAGGTAAACAATACAATAATATTCTTAAAATATTAGTGAAAATAATGTAAACTAAATTATTAAATCTAATGACTAAGTAAGCAAGCTGCTGCTGCTGCTGCTGCTGCTGATGATGATGATGAATAAACAGGTAAAAGTATAATACTGAAAATTCAAAAGAAAATAAATAACTACGCCTAAGTCGATGTTTGCTAGTCAAATGTAATTCTGTTCTCTGATGATGGAGGCAGCAATGACGTCGAAAACGTCGGTAAACTTCTACCAGACTACATGGCGCAACTTTCAAGCAGACAATTATCTTCAGCTTAATATCATTTCGACCCACTGACCGTGGCGAGAAGTACGCCATTTGTGTTCAACTAGTTAATTGAGAAAATTGGCAATGGAACAGCTGTGAAGGATACACCATGTTAGTGCAGGCCAACTACTTAAAAGTTCTCCATTATGATATTGATGTATTGCTTGACACTTGAGTCTGCTCTGATAACTACGGGGTTTGGTAACAATGATTTTACAATAAAAAATGTACACTAACTGACACCAGAACATCCATGGTACGCAGCTAGTTCTGTGCTGTCTTCACTCTTTTAGGTTCCGCTGTAGAAAAAAACGTAATTATTAATTTAACAGAACGTAACTCTATGTAGATTAAGCATTCTGTTTATTAGCAAGACTTCAGACTCCGCACAGGGCATATAACCACTGACTAATGTCAGAATATAATGAAAAATTCAGTAATAAATTATACAACTTGAGTCAATGAACAGACAAATGGAAAACAGTAGTACAGTTACGAGTGTGTACTGTTTCGATTCTGAGTTGAAGTGCCCGAACTGCATTCAATTAACGCAACAGCTGAAGTTGAAAGTCTCATCTGAATGTAGACCTACCCTTCGCTTGAAGCATCTAAGAACCAGTCTCAGGACCAGAAACACGAGATTTTAGCTGTAAACGACGTTAGGATGGATGTTTAGGTGAAAGTAAATATCATTAAATACTAATGGAATGTACCTACTATCAATACAAATAAAATACTGTGACTAAAGTCCCATACGAATAGGGCAACCATTTACCGGCACTAAAACACATCTCATGCCTTTCTTCCTATGTAATTTCCCACAGGAAGGAAAACAAACTTTAAGAGAAAGAATGTGATACAAAATAAATCCTTCTCGCTAGTTACACCAATATCTTAAAGAATTTTTCAAAACACAAGCATCTAAGGGGGGATAACGATACGTGGCACATTTCGATCCTTACACAGGCAGTAAACTACATACTTCGTATCAGCATGACACTTTTGAAGAGGACGCCGGAGACCCTACCAATTCTACGCAATAAATATGCATGACAGCTGCAGCCAATTCGCCCTAACACATGTGAATAAATGACAGAGATCAGCTAAACTGCTCATAAAGAAGATCAACTATAGCTCTAGAACATTAAAGGATGGCTGCATAGTTCTTGCAGCCGTTTATGCGATATATATATATATATATAATCTGTAGACTTCACATTATAGTTTTAACAGTATTCTTCACTACATCAATGCTTTGCGTTGTTAACTACAAGAAAAAAAATACACTGGAACCCCAAAATTCAGCTGCTGTTACACTTCTTCCCGCCTTCAGACATTACCACTTTGCAGTTCACACTCGAAAACAGATGGTGACCAGAAGGCAGGATGGACCGGAACTTCAAAGAACATTACGTTCATCCTCAGGGCACACGCAACACCCCCCCTCCCCATACTCAATTCCTTGTTACTGCTGACGTCAGAACCAAACTTTTCTTGTCTACCCATTCTCGTAATGCACTTACACAGATATGATGATTGAATAAATGAGTTGATGAATATTTGTGTGTCATTACTCTAAAATTAACAGACTATAAGCTTTGTTTGCATTTATTGGTACCAGAGTCGCCTCGCCACAGTTAAAAATTAATTTCAATTTATTCCGCATTGCACGAAGGGCGCATTCGTAGTCAAAATTGACGGGCACAGGCATTTATATTAAGAGCATATACACAGTTTCGTGAATATCAACCTTTTCACAGTATCCTGGAGCACAAAACACAGAAAACATGAAGCGCCAAGATACAAGTTCCTTCGGTACGTAAGAAACAACTTCCGATACTGAAAGAATTGATTTGTCTATAGAAATAAAAGTTCCAATCAAAGATATACTAAAGACATCACGCAGAAGAGACGATTAAAATTACCTCTTTGTGGTATGGCCGCGATCGCTGTATTTTTAGGACCAGACAATCGACGGGACAAGTTCACAACATTAAGGTTCTAGCTGCCGAAAGATGGGCAAGCAAAATGTCGTAAACACTGGGTTCTTGTCACAAAAAATTGGATGTTGGGAGGGCCTGCACAAGGATGTTGTTCAGACGTCAACTCTGTTCTGTTTTAACTACCAAGCCGTCTGCAATCTGAAAAAAGGGAATTTAATAGACGAGAAAGGGAACAAGTCCCTTCTTAAAATAAAAAGAAGACAAAACTGAACTGTGGTGTCATTGGTTTATCTCAAGTGACAAAGATTACCAATCAAGGTTACAAAGAAACCATACGACCCTCTATTACCGTACTTCAGCTATTCGTCGTAGCATTATTTTTAGGTCGAGGTTAGTTTACAACCACGTACAAACCACGGGAAGTGCAATATATCTTGTAAGTGGCAGCAAATTAAGGACAGGGTTTTACTGCATGCACAAGGGTCTGTGCCTCAGACGTACGTGAAATTGATAAAATCAAGTCTGTCCATGAACTACTCTGCAGAAAACTACAATGTCAGATATCCAAGTGATTCCATTCAGAACCACATAACCAGGGTTTGAATGTTCGAAACAGCGAGAGATCTTGCTACACAGCTTAATAGTGAAGCGGTATTAGCTCGTAAAGATAATTTATCAAGGATTTACAAACTGTACAGACATTGTGATCTCTTCTCGTCCTTCATTAGATCACTTTACCATACATCATCTCCATGTGGGAGTGACAATGATGTCACCCAAATTCTCTGCGAAATTCTACATAACTTGGACGATGACAGTAAAGAGGATCCGAATTTCATTTCCGAAAGTTAGAATGGTCGGAATGGGAAAAAAGTTCTAGTCTAGTGATAAAGAAAATAATCTCGAATTGGCGGCTGGCAAAAATAGTTGCTTTTGTAACTTAAATTACTGTTTGTTTATCACAAATAATTTGTAAATAATAATTTATTAATAGTTCTGCTCAGCTTCTAGCACTATTAAAATTCACATAAATGTATTAATATAATTTAAAACATTTTTAAACAAAACGTACGAGAGGTCTGGCAGACCTTGCCAGTTAAGAGTTCGAGTTCGCAGACAATTTCATAATGTGTCGAGAACATCAAAAGATGGTGGAAAGTGGGTGTCAACTTACCAAAACGGACTCTGCTCCGACCCTTGTACCGTTGGCCGCCGGGGAGGGCTTCTCACAGTACCAAATCGAAATAGTGACATGATGGGACGGGGTTTATTTAGAGCAGTTCGTTCATTATATTCAAGGTACTGCTTTTTCGGTTTAAATGTCTCGTTCTTGTAAAGTTCGAGTCGTCAAAATGGACAATATACACACCACATAACAAATAAACGATACAACTGAATTATTGTACGTCTAAGACGAAACACAAACGAAAAAAGTCATTACAAAGGCTAAACAGATTTTAGGGCTTTTGCCGAGAATATGTTTCAGACCACAAAACACACGCAAAAGACAAAAATAAGTAGGGCTTACACTTTAACAAGGTTGGGAAATAATCACAGTCAACACGACAAAAGATTGAAGGGTTAGAACGAGTTTTGTCATTTCATCTTGTAGCAGCAATTAGGTATTATTTTAGTCATTCATCTGAACACCGATGTTTAGACGCGTTACAGATAATGCACATATTAAGCAACACACTCTTCGTTTTTCATTAAAGTGCCATCATTCCTCGTCTTCAAAAACCTTACAGATTTTCTTCCAATAACACCACGAAATTTTTTCTTTCTCTTTTGCATTTTGAAAAGCGGACACCTGAGGGCATTGAGTGATATCCTAGGACGATTATGGTAGAGCTGAGGTATGACACAAGGGGAAGACGAAGACAGTACTGTGGGGTATGCGACATAGATTCTCCTCCGTCGAGATCTTTTTGTTGTGGAAACATTGCTAAATTTCCGCTGTTCCGATCTGTTAGAACTCATCCCTGTCCTCTTCCCGCGTTGTGTCCAGAAGAATCGATGCCCCATACTTCACATAACTCGTAGAACCAGGCTGCCATTTCTAGCTAACGACGTAAATTTCTTCTACAAGTAAAATAGACCGATATTTGGAGTGAAATTCACTATGAGCTTCTAGCAGGCACCATCATATCACTGGTATCACAACCACTATTCCAAATCCAATCGTACACAAATGAAAGTGATGACCCAAAAAAGGCAGCACTGTCGAACATTGGGAGAAGCAAAATCACAATCCACCTTCCAGTCTCGTTCAGGATGCTGCGTTGCCTAGCGACTACACATCCTCAACTACGCATCTGTACTGGCTCCCGTTCGCATCTGCGCGTCTCAATGAGGGGAGAACCGAGACGTATCTCTACGAGATCGATTCAACAAAGATGGAGACGGACCCACCCGCCCCAACGTACAAGGACAGGAACAAACCTGAGAGTGGGAAGGAACACGAAACAGACTTGCAATGTGACAGGATAACCACAATGTCATACCCCATAATCCGACAAGATAAGACACCGACGGCAAGCCAAAGTAAATTGTGCAACGACCAGTCCCACGTGCGCATACTTGGAAGTTCGTGCCAACAAGTTGTTACGACTGAAGATTGTTTTCCTGGCTTGTTGCGCAATGTAGTCTGATTGGAGTTTACTGATGTTTCACAGTTGTTTGCTGCCTCCATCATCAGGGCGATGAGTACGCCTCACGCGGTTTACTTATGGCCCTGATGATGAAGGCAGAAAACACCTCTGGAACGTCGATAAACTTCTAGACTACACGGCGCAATAACCTATAAGACAATCATCTTCATACTAGTCGCCGTGAGAACCTGAAATCTCACGATTTACTACTATGAGTTTAAACAAAATATAGGCCCCGAATTGGACCCCAACGACACCACAAAAGCAGGTAAAATGTCAAAGGGACTGATACGCGAAACCTAAAGGTCAAATAACTACTGCCAATAACTTAGAAAGTATACATAAGCAAACGACAGGCCTAACAGATACGTTAGTTGAGTCCCACGAGCACTAATTCACCCCCTGAAGCAGAGAACGTCGCCTCAATTGTACGCCAAACCGTTCAGTTATGTTAAAAGTCTGGCATCCAGCCTGTTTTCAAAACACAAACACTGATCTCACAATATAAACAATGTCAGTTTTTACCAGGCTATACGCCAAAAGGACATATAATTCTTAACAGTGTTAATTTACAAAGTATCCCGCCTTATGTGTGTATGATCAGATTCATAACGGAAAACGCAGTGTAAAGAAATCTGGATTTACAGACGCCTGCAACAAAATGTTTAGATTGCATAGCTGTACACGGATGTCGAAGAAGTTGCCGCTGGAGCAAGGCGAAGAGAACACGTGACAAGTACAGACTGTCCCGTCATTGATGTCAGAAAGTATATACCGTCACTCTACGCTGAAGCTTGAATAGAAAATCTCGTATATATGAGGCCCACTGGGCTTAGATGGGATGTATTTAAAGCTCGGTCACAAAATGTAAGCAAAAACATAATATTGTAACTAAAGCTTTATTACTGAACGTACAAGTTACAAACAACATTGACTGTTGAAAACGGTCACCATTTTTTCCTATGCAAATTTCAGCATGGTGCACCCACAACTGTCACACCTCTGAACTACTACTACTACTACTACAGCAGTTCTCATACCTGCTGCCAAAACAAGATGATGATTCAACATTATTGATAAAAAGGATTGTATTTCTGTCACAAGAATTTGAATTTGTTGGAAAATTATAAACAGATACCAAAACATTGGAAACGTTATAGCAAAAGAGGCATAAGTAACTGATATAAAATATATATTCATCACTACTTATAAAGAATTTTATCCTGCAACTCTTACACACAGAAAAAAATTCTGTAACTATGGGAAAAAGTAAAAGTAAAAACAATGGTCAAGCACATTTTAAATGATCTCCCATCCCAAAGTCTAGAAAGATACTTTTAAAATGTAGGATCTGAGGTTTTCACAGCGGTTAGTATGAAGATTGCTGTCTTCTGAGTTATGCCATGTAGTATCATCGCCCCGAAGATAGAGGCAGTATGACCTCTGAAACATTGGTAAACATCTACCATACTATATGGCGCAACAACCCAGAAGACAGCAATCTTCATTCTTTTAAAATGATTTCTATACATGTATTTAATTCATATATGAATGACAAATGTATGTTCTGCGTGTATGATATCTATGAACATTTTGATTTTTACACTGGTGCCCTAACAGCAACAATGACAACTTTAGAAGCGCAGTCATCAGTGCATGGATAACATGGGCAAAAAATAAATAAATCCAAGGAATCCATGAGGTTTTAATTTCTGTTAACACTTCAGAACATACTCATCAACAACAGACCAAATTCAGCTAAATTTACTGAAAGGGTCAGTGCAATTCAACTAAAGTCTTCCAATTTTTAGTAAAAGTGTTGAACAGAAAACTGTAAAAATACACATTTTGGACAATTCAAAAGTACAAATGGCTGCCACGTGTAAATCTTAATGATAAGGCCAGAATATGTTGCAGTTATTGAGTTAGGTCAATACCTGAACTGTGTTTAATATTTGTTTACTTATAAGACAATATAGAAAAGTTGTGAAAATTAAATAATCACTTTTCATGTTCCTTGAATTTTTGTAAGAATCTTTTTAACACCAAACATAAAATGTTACATAAATGAACACATATACATCTTTGCAAATGAAATGAGTAATACTCAAACTGTTAATAAGTTTACTTTAAAAAAATAAACCCTTTCAACTGAAGAAAAACTTGGATTCAATTTATGAAACTGTTTCAACTTTTAGCATTAAACAGTTAAAAATGGTAAGCAGATTAGGATTTGGAAGGAGGCAGAAACAACCTACTCATACAAGGTCATCCACCCTCACTCAACTGAAGAGACTTGGAAGCAACAACAACAACAATAATAATAAAAACTGGCCAAGATTCAAATTGGGTACCTCCTGAAAGTAAAAGTATTACTGCTACACCAATCAGCTTGTTAAGGAAGAGTTGATACTATCCATTTGCTATATTGTTCCATTTCATACGTTCTTACAGCAAAAGAAAATAATGGTTGTCAATTGCCTAGCAAAATGGGCATTATCAGTCAATTTCTGTGATAAAGAAGCAAAAGCTCTTGATATAAGAAACAGTAAGCACAGTATGAGAAATCTTGTATATCATGGTTAGAATGTTACTTAATAACAATGTATCAACTAGTGATACAGCTTTTTCAAGTGATTAGCTGCTTTGGTTCAGAGTTCAAAGTGAGTGTTTTAGAGACCTTCTCTACCTGTCATTAGGAAATTACTGATGTCATCACTCTGATAATGGAGGCAGAGAAGGTAGCAACTTATTAACCAAGAAGATGTTATTGTTTTAGATACTGCAAAAGCTTAAAGTCCCTATAAACTACACAAATTATTGAATCTAAACAGAAACAACACGATGATTGTGCATGGCTAACTAAAAAAGAGTAGCTCTCTTTCAAGATTTTCTACACAAGGAGACACAAATACAACCACATTATATTGCACCAACCTCATTGTAAAATATCACATTTACTTTATTTATGAGTGATTTAATGATTGTCAGCAGCTCACTATATAAAATCAAATAATATGAAGAATAATGAGATGGATAGAATATGGAAGGAAACAGTCATGACTTAATATAAGGCATTATTCCAGCATTTGCCTGGAGGGACTGACGAAAGACACAAACACCTCAATTAGGACAGCAAATCTTCAGGTTGGAATTTGAAGCTGACACCTCCCAAAGTCAGAGCAGGATTACTATAACTATGGGCAAACTACTTGGTGCATAATTGACTGTTATGGGTTGCTTAACAGTTGCAATGAAAGTATTCACCACACTTGCTTAAAACATTTACCACACCTTTCAATTCTGGACAGCAGTTCAAGTCCATCATCAATGACCAGTAGGATTGCTACAAATTCCCTAGAATTGTGACAACACCACATGCTATATATATCAGTCTATCATACTGGTGTCTGAATCTGGGAGGTAAGACAACTGATTCCTATCTCTATATATTTTGTTAGTATTTCTTTGAAATATCTTGAGAAAAATAATGAAAATTTATGCAGATGTATTATTTTTGTTCGATAATGAGATCATCTCACAAACGATGTGTGAAGTTATGATACTGCAAGTTGTCTTCCCCTCCATATATAAATACCACACAAAGAAGGTACGCAATTTAACCGGTCATATGTATGAAATAACTTACGTTATATCAAGTTTTAAGGAAAAGGATGACTCATCTGCTGCAATATGATCCATTGTCACAAAATTATAGCACAAAACTGTTCACTCTATCAACAGTTAAGAATTCAAAACCAACTGCCACAAGCACATGTTTGAACATCCGTTTCATAAATAATGCGCATGCGCCATTCATTTCAAATTCAAACGAGTTTCAGGACTTGATACTAGATGCCAGACTAATATGCACATTACATTCTGCGACATCTCTTGCAGAAATCGTGTACTATATTCATTACATAGCAAGTCCAATTTTTAACAAAAAATATGCATAAAAATAATCTAAAAAAGCCTACTGTATATTAAACATCCATTAATACTGATTTATTGCTCAATTTTGCACATTATATGCACGCCATAACCTAACAAATGAATTTGACATAGGCCACGATTACCTATCGCTTAATGCGATTATCAATGACGTCAAGTAACATGGCAGCTGTCTTGTGGAAATGAATTCGTGTCACAGTTATAATACATCGTTTACACAGTGTCTCATAGGCAATACAATATGTCACACCTGTTTCGTTTAATTGGTCGAACCTAATGAGGTTATATTTCTTGATATAGTGTTCGACTGAAGGTGTAAGTACAAGATAAGTCGCTCATATCCATGCATGTCGTCTGCTTGTAATAATTTACTTATCATATTCACCACCTCACCATATTTTTAAATAATGCGTTTTAATACTTGCTAAATTGTGTACATTTTCAGGAATTTGGAGAACATATTTCAAATATGTTTGCCAGTTTAAAAAATAATGAAATCAATAGGAGACAGGTAGTGATCCTACTAAACTAGCTCTGGGTAGCCCTCCACAGAAAATTATCCATGGCAATGGACCCAAAGGGCACCATTCAAGGCAAGGTTCTGGCACCAGTTTGGGTAGTTTCTCTCTTGATGGTGTACAAGAAGAACTAGTATCATCGCCACCTCTACTGAAGAGACAAGACAGTTCAGAAGTCAAGCTTGCTGATGGAAAGGTGAGAAGTGTTTTGTCATTTAAACCTAATGAATACATCATCTTTGGAAATAAGAAAATAACAGTTTTATCCTTCAGTACTTAATTATTCAGTTTTAGGAATGTGTCAAGCTGTACTTCCACTGCTCCGTACATATGCAAGGTTTGGTGCACAAATAGGTTTACATTTCTTTAAAAACTGTGTGCTTAAATGTTCGGTTCATAGGTACTTAACCAGAAAGATGTAAAACGGCTTGAGAAACGTGAAGATGAATGGAGGCGGAAGTTACAAAAATTGGAAGAGGAATGGACCAAAAAGTTGGAAAAGAAAGAAGATGAATGGAAAAAGCAAATGGAAGAAAAGCAAAAAGACTGGAGGAGATCACTAGAACTTCTTGAAAAAGAAAAAGGTGCACTGGAGGAAGAAAAACGAGAAATTGTACAGCAGAAATTAAATCTTGAAGAAGCCCTAAAAATAGCTGATGGTATGTTATGTATACTTTCTTTGTAAGTGTCCTCTTGCATGTTTGAGTAAGACAGATAGTATAGATGCATATAATTAGTTAAATTCCCTAGTTTCAAAACAACACAGTTATTTTGTTTGGTCTGTGTTATACTGAGATAGAATTTTTGGCATAAAGCTTTCATTTCTTTAATAACCAAGTCAGAATATTGCAAAATACATAATTGACTTCAATATATGTTGTTATTTTCACCATATCGATATTTTACTACTTTTCGGAAAGCAGTGGCAAACTCATGGTGGCACTATATAAATCTACAAAAAGAAATGAGTTAGGGTAACTGACACCAGAGTAAACCTGGGGATATTATGAATTCTAATGGTGTGAACATGCTTGGATTTGGTACATGTTTCTACAGTAAATAAATATCATGGCCAGTGATGTATACAAAGTTGCAGAGAACACATTTGAAACATATGCTGAAAATGGAATATACCATTCTGCATTTTTTCCCACATCCCAGACAAATGATTAGATACTACTTTAAAATAGGTCAAGGTCACTTTCAAATCCCTCTCCACTCACTAGTGATAATCACTGTCATGTATAATTCAGCATTGTACAAATCCTGCCTGCGGTCGATACTATATCATACATAACTTATGAATTCAATACATTATTACTAAACGAAGATAAGCATGCTATGTCATGAGGACAGTCATATCACACAAGAAAACAGAAATTTTAAAATTAGTCCACTTTGCTTACTTCCATTCTGTCATGACATATGGAATAATTTTCTGGGTAGATTCAACAGACAGCAAAAAAGTATTGTGTATCCATAATTACACTAAATGGAGAGCCTCTTGAAGGGAATTGGTAAGATTAATATTTTTCCTCTAGCCAGTGAATTCTTCTCATTATCATCATTTTTAGTATATAACAGAATCATTTCAAACTCAGATATTCACAATATAAGTACAAGATAGAGATATGAACTTCATGTGCTGAATACTAACCTCAACTAATAACAAAATGGAATTTACTGTACTGGAATCAAGTAGTTCAATAATCTTCCACCCCCCCACTATCAAAAGTATTAAATCATGATATAAAAATTATATGTCAGCACTGAAAGATTATCTCTTCTCATTCCTTCTGCTATGGAGAGGAATTTACCTTAACCAGAAATTCTCAGCTATTATAAATACATGTAAGCAATAATGGTGATTTCTTGTGTAATTTTTGCTGTAATACTGTAGCAAACTGTAAATAATTGTCACAACTATGCATTTTTATTTGTATTAGAAGCAAGTATTGTAATTGTGCTGTGGAATGTTCTACATCCTTGGCTTATGCCTATGAAGCATCTATGGAATGTAAATAAATTCTGTTCTGAACCAATACGAACCAATACTTAAAGAGTAGTTTGCCATCTTACCAATGATATACAGTAGGTTCCGGTTAATTGGGGCAGCTGTTTATTTGCGACAAATCTTAAAGAACAAACCCTTTTAACTCTTTACATGGAATTGGGCCAAAGTGTTCTAGTACCGATGTGTCCAAATTAACCGGAATCCACTGTATCTTTGATAATTACTCTCTTGAGAGAATACAGAATTTGCAATATTTGTAACTAATGAACTCCACAGAGCAGAGTTCTTGTTGAGAAACTAATAGTTCCTCAACTAGTCGAGAAATTTGTTACCTTATATGAAACCAAAAGGTATGTATTACCATGAAGATGGCTGTCTTCTGGGTTGCAGTGCCATGTAGTCTGGTAGAAGATAGCCATTTTCATACTCACTGCCATGAGAACCTCAAATCTTACATATTACATGTTCACAAAAGCCTGCTTGCAGTATCTTTAAGGGCCCAATATTAAATAATGCTTCTGTGTTTTACATTTTTATACCATTGGCTTGAACTTTAACCACTACGTATGTAATATGTGTTAGTTTCATAATTCCAGAACCGTAGACCATTGCAATGACTGTGTACTATGAGCACTACATGTGATTTAGGTATCTAAAGTGTTGTTGTGAGTTAATAAATATATTACACTTTTGAAATGTATAGTGTTATGTACGTGATGACTCGATGAACTGACAAGAGACAGACGCATCACATTGCTATGACCCAGAATTAATTAGTAAATATAAACTGTTTAGTACATATTTAGATTATGTACCTTGTAATTTATGTAATTGCAGTTTCTGATAATTTACAATTTCTGTAAATATTTAATTCTTAGTCAATTTCACACTTATACAACAGTAGAGTTGTCCAAGAAGAGACATGCTAATCGCTTTAATCTTTACAGAATACAAGAAAAAAGTTTTCCAGTATCAAGAAGATATTGACCAACTGGAAGGATTTCAGACCCAAGAAATGGCAAAGATTAAACATTTGGTAGGTAAGCTTTATGAATTATATTTCCTGAAGTAAATCTGGTGCCCGTCCAAGTTCTTCATTTTCTTCTTAATCCTCTTTATTTTATTACACAGTTGCTTGTGAAGGAGCAGGAACTAGCAGAGAAAGCAGCTGCCCTGAAAGAGGCCTCTAGCAAAATAGAGAATTTTAAATTGGAGATTACTCGACTTAGGCACTACGAAGAAGAACTTGCTAACTTGCAGGTAGTCCAAAACATAATTGTTCCTTTTTATCACTGGTGTGTTGTGTTTGCTTCACTGTAATTAAATTGCACATAATAATTAACAAAGGGCATTTTATACTTTTTTGGAAACATTCTAGAATATAACTCTGTAAATTAATCATTTTTCCTAACCAGATATTCCTGCAACATAGTCTGATTCATTTGTACTTTATATTCTTGCAAAGAATAAAGAAAAGTCAAGATCAGTTTGTGTTAGTTTGTAAAGCAGGATAGAACGATGTAGGCTACAGACCAGCATACAAATTACTTTTTATACTGTAAATGTTCTTGGTGAAAAGGTTTCAGTGGGTGATTTAATTTGTACCTAAATATAGAAATCCCTTTAGACTATATACATTACACATGTCAGAGAAATTTCCAGCCCTATAAAGTATTACAACCCAGAAGACAGAAATCTTTATTGAATATATGTTTAAAGCAGGAAATAGGAACATGTGATTTGGTTAAGTATTCCAAAGAAGGATACGTAGAATAATAAAATTAAATGTGATTTATAGGAGGATGTTAACTGAAACATTACAGCACTTTAAAAGCACAAAACACATGCTATTTTACTTCCATAACAGTGTGAATGCCCTGAGTGATTTTTCCATATGACTCATGATTCACACCCTCATTCAGTTTGACAAATAAATGTCCGAATTTCATAAGAACTTGAATAATGCATACAGCAGCAACATTTTCCCGTTATGTAAAATGGAAGCTGGTTACAACATTGCGAGGGTATAATTTTTCATGTATAATGATAATGTTCTCTGTGGCCAAATGTATCTGTGGAGTCTCAATTATTTATTAATTAATTTTATATTTTTCTGAAATAAATAACCTCCAGAACTACAGAATATCACTTCTGTTTGTGACACTGGTTGTATTTCCTTACAAATATGATTTGAAGAGCATGGATGTTAGAATGTCATTTACACAAATTCCTTCTGTGATACATGCCTGCTATGCATACAGTTTTGTTTATAATATCCTACCATTTATGCATAGATTTCCCTTTAGCTTTACAGATTAAATTTCTGTATGTATTTCTCATCTCTGCTATGCATGCTAATGCATTACCCATCTCATTCTCTTTGCTCGAGTGATGCAATGTAAAGTAAGAGGTGATGATCACTCCCACATTCTTAAAAAAGCGGTTGACAGTTTCCTAGGACATGGACTTTATGAGATATCAAATTTATGTACATATGATTCTGCAATTTTTAATTTATCTTTACAAATGGCCTTCATCCCAGTGACTATAACATAACAAAGAAATCAAATTAATGCTGTCTACCAGTCCTTCCATATTGTTGTTCAAGAACTTGTACTGCATTCACAGCTATTTATTAAAACTCCAATAACTATGAATTAACAGCTCAACTACTACTCTTTCATACTTAAGAGGTCCAGAGTTCAAATCATAACCAGAAAATTGGCTATCTTGGCTGACATGGTTCCAGAGTAGGATTTTAAAGTAGGTTTTGACTAAATCCTTTCCAGCTTACAGTCCACAATATTTAATTAATTTTCTTATTCAGCACTATATGACCTATGCTGGCACATTATCATTAACTAGTAAATGATTTTGTTACTTAGGATACTAGATATTTAACTTCATCAGATCTTTGCTTGTAAAATTGATCTTAACTGTAGCATGCAGTGTTATGTCACAATATTCTTTAGTGTTCCAGAACACGAATTTCACAATGAGATAAATTATGACCCTGCTTGCTTTTCAATTGTAATGTTAAATTTGTTCAAAGTATATGCTTCCTTAATTACAGCAGCATTTTTCTGAAGCATGAAAATCAAGCAGTGAAAGCTTCTTATGAATCCTGCTTTTGTTTTTCTGTGCTTCTGATATCTGGAAGAAAGGAGAATGGTAAAATTATAGGGTTTTATTCCATAGTTATGACTTCTTGTGTTTGGTATGTTGTAATTTGTTTCTGTGGATCATTATTATTCTGCTTCATGCACTGTCTTGCCTGATTGTCATGACTTTTATATGTAATTGTTTATTTTATACTTTATATAGATACAAGGATAGAATCTACATTTCTGAATACACTGATGAAAGACATTTTATCAGAAGACAAGAAAACAAGTATATTAGGCAGCTACAAATGATTTTTAAAAGTTTTAATCAATTCAAGCATCTTTGACTTGCATAACACTGTTGGGCACTCTGTAAAATATAGATTATTTTTGTAATAAATGACATATTTCCCCATAACACCAATGTTGCAGGTAACATTTGGCATATTCACAATGAAATGTTGCAAAAATATGCCTATCAGCTTTTCCATGTCTGTCTCTACATTTGTCTGCATGTAATTGGAGAACCACTGAACTGATTTTAGTTAAATTTGATATTGAGGAATTTTTACTGAAGTTTGTTGACAGAATTCAGTTTTGGTTAAAATAAGAGTCACAATGAACTCTTTACATGAAGACCTTCATATATGTTCCTGCGCACATCTCAGTCATGACTCATTATTATGAGAGCAAAACATTTTTCGAACATTTGAAGTAAAATGTTAAATCTACATGCTAAACTCAGTAATAAATCATGGAAGTTAACCTACTTTTGGTAGGAATTTGCATGTAAAGCCATCTAGAGGCAATATTAGAGCAAATATGCCAGACTAGTTACATTATGCATACTTTCTTAATTTGTTTATAATATAACACAACACATGTAAACCAGTTTTCAGCTTGACTGAGGCTTGCCTTTCTAACACTATAAAGAACACACAGTCTTTCTTCAAATTGTCACCAGGTGTCGTATGATTTGTGACTATCAACTTTATGAATTAGAACTAAGCACTATGAATCATTTTTACTGTATGATCCATTTGGATCAACCCGCCATTGTAACCAGATCTAAAAGATCCATTTTTTATTGGACCAGGTACAGGAAATTAGAAAACAAATTCTGTTGGAGATACCTACTCAACTGTTTCTTGGAACATCAGATGCTTTGTAAAATAATTTCTTTAATGACCTACCCTAAACAATAAGTATATTGACAGTTCAAATAAATAATTTTGTTTTCAAGCATGATTTAAAAAAGTTACTAAAAGATTTCACGAAAAACTTGTGTATAAGAAGAAATTTCTTAACTTGGCTTAAAAAATAAAATTATGAAAATCTATTTTGAAAGAAACACATAAAATACAAGCACTGTAGACAAAATATTAACTGGTCTTTCAGACAGCTGTGATCTAATCCAGGTACATAGACTAGTATCTAGCATTAAGAGGACTGTGTGGGTGGCTGGGATTGGAGCCAATTTGAGTGTGTGAGAGGGGACATGGGACTGACTGAACTGTCAAGTTGGAATTTGGGTCTAGTTGAAAAATAATGGATCTGCAAACAAAGAATGAACACACTGCCAGTCGTTTATCTGCATTAGTACATTTACAAGGAAAAAACAGGTGTATTAGTGGACACTTTCATTCAGGAACAACATTTCTAGATCTTGTTAATGTCACAACTTCCATTTTAAACACATTTCAATATGGTGTATATTTAAAGAACTAAAAAAAAGTAAAGCTGTTCCACTACATGCCATGTAGTGTATGGAGGGAGAGGAGGTATAGACCTACACATTCTTAACCTCAGCACTAGATAGGGGTGAGTGGTCAGTGTCAAAAATCTTCTGCCCCTGTTGTGGATTAAACCTCAGTCATCCAGTCCATAGTCAGTTTCTATACTGACTGAGCTGCCCAGCTCCTTGAATTTAAAGAAATACAAAGAAAAAATAACTGTTGTCTCTATGCAGTGTAATATATCCATTGTGAATGGCTGTGTTTATAAGTTAATATCTGCAGTAAATGAACTTACACATACCAGAGAAAAAGCTTTCCACTCTGTTTCTGGCTCATTTTTAAAAATAAATTATGCAAGAAGCAAATGTTTGATAAGATATGGTCACCTGCTTTCTAATTTGTGTGAGTGGTTTTGCAGCTGTGGACAAGTAGACTTCCTATCTATCAGGGGTGACCAAAAATCATCACAAGTCTTTTTGAATTAAAGTGTCTAAACTGAATACGAATGAAAGAGAACAGATCAGTGTTGAGTCTGCAAAAAAGGAGAGTACAAAACACTGGATGTTTATTCACACATGAACTTTTTTGGTGGAAGAATGAAGGGAAAGACTGCTGCTTATTTGTGTGTTCATACTTCATGACCGAACATTTGTGGAGGACAGAAAAGTATGGGAGCACTTTTTCTTTCTATAAATTCTTCAATTCAAACTGCTACTTTTTTCTTATAATTCCCTCTATCACCAACTTCAATTTGCTGCACTTCCTGTACCATTCACTACCACCAGTATTAAGGCTAAATAACCAACTCCACAGAGCTTACTCCTTGAGAAACTAATAGTTGCTCAGCTGATCAAGATTTTCCCACATTTTATGGAACCCAAAGTTTCATAACTATGCTCATAAGAGCCTACCACTGATCATTACAGCTAAATAATAATGTGGTATTGCAATCATCCATTAAATTTTAGTTTCATATATTCTAGATTATTTTAATTTACCATAGGTTTTGACAGCTATATGGTATCATGATCTTAGGTGATTATATTTTATACAGGTCCTGATAATGGCTTTCTAAAAAACCTTAATTCAAAATTTTTATAGCACATAGTAGAAAAGTAAGATATTGACATTGGTATTGCTCATATAGACAAAGAAGCAGTGTTGAAACCTGAACTTGTATTTTTAGGTGCACTCTCAGAATGGAATAGTAATTTTTCTTTAAAATATAAAATTATCAGTGGTGAATTTGGAACACATCATAAATATTAATGTCACAGATATATCACGTTTCTGAATTTTAAACTGAATTCTGTATATGTTTAGTAATTTTAAGGTTTTTATAATTTAAAGCACTTAGTTTCTTTCTGTATGTAGGCCTTTTTCTTGATTGTTTCTTGCTTTATTGCGTGGGCCATGCCAAAATGAATGTCATATGTTTGATTTTGTTTGCACCTGAGTATGCACAGATAATTTTTTATTGTAATAGCACATTTTTTGTTTGTGGATTCGTTGGCTTTGTGTTTTTCCCCAAACACACACCTCCACATTTCCTACTCAGCAGCAATCAGTACTACATGGATTGCTATTTCCTACGGGCAGAATAATGGTGGCTTTTTGAAGACTGGCTGGAAATGGGCTGATGCTGTTGTAGACAGTCTGTTAAGGTATGTGGATGTCTTCAACTTTCTGCTTGTTTGTGGGTATTTTGAAATATAAAAATATTTATACTTAGTTAGAAGCATACTAATATAGTTTCCTAGTATGGTTGCTATTTTACAGGTAGTAAAGCATCTTGATCAGAATTCTGTATTACTTGACTTTTTGAACTTGCTATATAATGCTTGTGAATGGCCGCAAATGAACCAAGATATCTCAAAATTACGCATGTAGAAACTAATATTAAACTCAAAACCTCTGCTTAGGCATGTGAACGTGAGGCCAGCAGTCAAGCTAGTTGGCTTTGGCTCTCTGGAGCTGTTACGCCACGGATTTAATTTTTTTAATATCACCACAATGAATGATAGTTTGAAGTTCATAATGACCTTTGTCTCTGTACCCTTTGGTTAAAGGACAGTGATTTTATATAACAGTAATCTTCATAGTTGTACTGTGTTCTGTGATTTACACAGCAACACATATTAGTAAATGGAATTATACCTGATATCAAAATTACGTTCAGTGCCCCAGATCTCATGTAAAATGAAAATTCCAAAGTCTCTCTTACGAGAAAGAACTCTCACATCCCTTATGAATGAAGCTCCATACAAATATAACACCTGAATACAAAACTGCATTTATGGATGAATCAGGACTGACAATATGGAACTGTATGTGTATTCCCACCACAACATAATGCTACTATCCTGGCAGTCTAGTATTTCTACTGGTATTATTGTAAAAATAACACCAGTTAGCACAAAAAAGTAAAATACTCTGCTTATCGTAACAACTTTTGAACTTCTTATTTAACAAAGCAGTAAAATGATACCCAAAATAATAGCATACCTGTATTAGTACTAGGAGGACTTGGGTTCTTTATTGCGCTGTGCTAACTATCCACACTTTCTTCATGGATTTTTATGCTTCTGCAAGCATGTCACTAAATAGGCCTTGACAGTTTCTTGCTTCAAAAAGTTAACTTCCTTAAAATGAGTGAGATTTGAGGTTATGAAAATTACTGTCATCTGGATTTAGACTAAATGGCACAACAACCCAGAAGATAGTGTCATCTTCTTTACATCAACTTCAGCCAAGTGCTAGGTCAGATGGTAGCTACAGCCAAGGACCTAAGGTCCTGGTTGGTGAACCTATCACATACCTCAGCAATGGTAATAAACAAGTATGGAGTACTGGTGATAATGGTGAATAGCATGAGGAAACTCAAGTACTTTGAGAAAATACTGCTACATTGTCATTTTGTCCATTATAGGTTCTATCCTGCTTTATATTTAACACCTCCTGTCTTATAAACACAAAAAAGTGATCGTAACTTTGAAGTAGACTGCAATGAACCTTATGATTCCACAATAACAAGAAATTTTGTGTAAATCGGTCACTTTAGTTGGTTTCCTTATTCAGTGTTTTTAATTCAGCTAATTAGTTACTATTCATCATTCTGGATTCCATATGCCTGACCATAATGATGCATGAACTAATGACATATTTGTGTTGGTTGCCTTGCCATTTCTAGAATATTCTTTTAAAAAATATTTAAATCTACACACATGCAGACAAATGAAGAACTCTCACATCCCTTATGAATGAAGCTCCATACAAATATAACACCTGAATACAAAACTGCATTTATGGATGAATCAGGACTGACAATATGGAACTGTATGTGTATTCCCACCACAACATAATGCTACTATCCTGGCAGTCTAGTATTTCTACTGGTATTATTGTAAAAATAACACCAGTTAGCACAAAAAAGTAAAATACTCTGCTTATCGTAACAACTTTTGAACTTCTTATTTAACAAAGCAGTAAAATGATACCCAAAATAATAGCATACCTGTATTAGTACTAGGAGGACTTGGGTTCTTTATTGCGCTGTGCTAACTATCCACACTTTCTTCATGGATTTTTATGCTTCTGCAAGCATGTCACTAAATAGGCCTTGACAGTTTCTTGCTTCAAAAAGTTAACTTCCTTAAAATGAGTGAGATTTGAGGTTATGAAAATTACTGTCATCTGGATTTAGACTAAATGGCACAACAACCCAGAAGATAGTGTCATCTTCTTTACATCAACTTCAGCCAAGTGCTAGGTCAGATGGTAGCTACAGCCAAGGACCTAAGGTCCTGGTTGGTGAACCTATCACATACCTCAGCAATGGTAATAAACAAGTATGGAGTACTGGTGATAATGGTGAATAGCATGAGGAAACTCAAGTACTTTGAGAAAATACTGCTACATTGTCATTTTGTCCATTATAGGTTCTATCCTGCTTTATATTTAACACCTCCTGTCTTATAAACACAAAAAAGTGATCGTAACTTTGAAGTAGACTGCAATGAACCTTATGATTCCACAATAACAAGAAATTTTGTGTAAATCGGTCACTTTAGTTGGTTTCCTTATTCAGTGTTTTTAATTCAGCTAATTAGTTACTATTCATCATTCTGGATTCCATATGCCTGACCATAATGATGCATGAACTAATGACATATTTGTGTTGGTTGCCTTGCCATTTCTAGAATATTCTTTTAAAAAATATTTAAATCTACACACATGCAGACAAATGCTATATAACCTATTCTTTAAAAAAAAAAGTCTTCCTGTTACATAAATGATGTTGTCCTTTCTCTTTTTCAATATTGTTGGAACACAGTTTCTGAAAGTTCATTTCATTATAATTTTTTACATGAAAATTTTAATTTAGCTTTCAGTTTGACAGCAATAAATAATGGGCCACCAGAGCTAAGACACGTGAAAGTCATCACAAAAATTGCTTATAAACATTTGTACAAATTGCAGATGAAATACTATTAAGTCAGCATTACAAATATGATGATGATTATAACAAAACTTTCTGTAACATATTTATGACTGCAAAAAAAAATCACTGCTGTGCAAGTAGGATTTGATCCCATGTCCATCTACAAACAAAACTGGCATGCTAACCTGTTAGTTAAATTATACTCTTCTGTTGAATTTTGAACATAATAGGATTGTAAGCTTTATGAGCTGCCAGTTCTTTTGTGAACTGAATAATTTAGAACTTCAAAGTACTGATCTAGATGCTTTGCCATCTTACTTATCCACTTCCTAAACGTTTTTGAAGTCTAGATGTTCTTTGCTGAATTCTATTATGAGCTACTGCATGTGTAAGTATGGTATGTTTACTGACAGTTGTGTTCTGTGAGCAGTGTGCAATTGTTGCATTAGGGGTGGTATGCTTAATGCAATTGTAGTGTTCTGTTTTATGGTTTCAATATTTCGAGTATTGTTTACATTATGAAAATAATAGTTTCCTGAATAGTTTTTGGGTAAATGATTTGTTCATTGTTAACTGTTATGTGTATGTAAAGTAAGCAATATTTGAAGAGAAAACAGTCACTTATTTTACATTTTCCTCTTAAATGCAGGATGATTTGGAGTCTTTGCGCCACTCCTCAGATCGAGAGCGCTCTCAGTTGTCTAGCAACTTGGCACAAAGCGAAGAAGATGTTCGGCATCTTAAAGACAGAGTGGCTGTTCTTGAACAGAGGACAAATTCAGAATGCATCAACCTGGGTGCTGAATTATCTGTGAATGATAGGGTTCAAGCATTGTTGGGTGAAAGGATATTATTAGAACGTAGGCTAGAAGAAGTCCATCTACACCTGTCAGATATCAAGTCTTCTTGGAGTGGGAAGATATCATCATTAGAAACCCAAGTTGAACGACTATGTCGCCAAGCTGCTGAAGAAGGAACAGAAAGGCGACGAACAGAACAGGAACGAGATGCACTGATGGAGAGAATCAAGGCTCTAGAAGTTATTGTTGAGAAAGGAAAATCCACAGCAAAGGAGAAGGATGAGAAAATAGACAGATTAAAGGAAGAGAGAGATGTGCTTATAGAGGAATTGAAAGATATGAAGGCAAAGAGGGACCAGGAATTAGCCAGTCTACAGCAGGAAATTGTGAGTCTGAGAAACTCGCGTGTAGCTGTAGTTTAAAAAACTTGACATCTGCAACATCAGATGTCCACTGTGCACATGATTAAGAGAGAAACATGTGTCTTTCAAAGGATTTTTATTTGGCCACATCCCCCATGCATCACAGTAGTCTTGACACTGTCTCTGAAATAAAATAATGTAAACAAAAATATTGATGAAATTCCACCTTTACTTCTAAAATATATTATTTTACTTAACACATTCACACCATAAAAATATTATGTTTTCCCAGTTCTGGCTATGGTACATATAAATATGTAGTATGCTGATGAGTGTTATTAAGATCTGATGAGCAGGAACCTGAATATTTTCTACCTATGATTATGTAATGATGGCTGAAGAAAATGTTTCAGTGCAGTTTTAATTTGCTTCTGTTGACTTGACAGTTGATATATGTATCTTTTAAATAACTTCTTGGCAAAGTGTACCATGTTTAACACCTTTACCCCTTCCTAAGTTTTTACTTTGAAATGGGCAGGGATGTGTAGAGAATGTCAAAATAATATTTAAAAATATGATTAATAAAGTTGTCTCACTGGTTCATTAAAGTTTGTGTTTCCATTGTTTTGTTCCAGAGACAATTTTCATATGATAGGTTTTTTAAGTTCCTTCTGTTTTACCACTCATTATAAACTGTAGTGCCTTAAAGAAGACTGAACTTCAAGATCAAGCTAAGAAACATTCATTACAGACGCTTGTGTACCAATTTTCACTGTCATTGATGATGCTACAGTGGCTTATAAGAAATAATATGATAATGGGTACAAATTGGAATGCATACTTCAGTCTTTTATTTGTATTCACATTTAATACAGTGATTATTTTTTAAAATGGATTCATCACTTATGTAATGGTAAATTGTTTAGAAATTTATACAATGCTTGTTAAATTATTATTATTTATTATAGTAATTTTGAAAATTTGTTGCCTCTTCCTATATTGCCCGTGCCATGGTAAAGCAAATCCTAAAATTCGAGAAATGAAATAAATCTTCTGGAAGTCCTCAGAAATAAAATTTTGACTTTTTCAGAAAGTTATATATTCAATGAATATCTGGCTGATTACTGGTTTTGCTAAATTACTGGTAATATAAAATATAGACCTTAGAGCAATAGTCTTATTTCATTTGCAAACAATTGTGGAGTTATACCATACCCCCTGGCACTGGCAATGTATCTCCCATATCCTGGTTTATACTAAATGAATGCATGAGGTTTGTGGTTTAATTTATTGTTTGCATTGTTTCTGCAATACTGGGTTATCCAAACAATAATTTGTTTCCTTTTGTTATATGCTTATTTTTGTTGGTTGACTAAAAATATTTGTTTTAATAAATCTTGTGCTTGGAGAATGTTGAATGAATCCTGTTTTTTAAACATTTTTTCAAATGGTTATGGTTGTAATCAACTACAAATCAATTTAAACGTCACCCTGATGCTTGGTTATTAGGGAAAATGGTATGTATGTTGCATGTAAAATTCAAACCGATGGCTACTCTTTTTCAAGATAATTTCATCATGTTTATGACTGTTGAGAAGCATGTAATTGCATGATTGTAAAAATACCTGCTTTGTTTAAACAAAGATCAGTGTTGCAAGATAATAAATTAATGAAGACACAAGTCATAACATGGTGTTTGTTGTAGTCTGTATGCAACTGAAGTGTATTATATATTGTCAAATTATTGTTTTAGGATTTGTTTGGTGTTGAAAATAAAGATATCAAAACTCAGCTGATTGAGATAGAAAAAAGACTGAAGGAATCAGAAACAGACTGTGCCCATCTTAATGTAGCACTTGAAGGTATGTATATTTGTCATGCTAGATGTGAATAAAATCTGTTCAAACTAGAGGGAGGGAGTCCTGTTATATTGCACTCCTAATAACCAGATGGTAAATGTCTGCATAAACATAATGTCTCATATCTAAAATTTTGTATCAAATGATTGTATATAACATAACATCTGAATTATAATCTGATTGACTTGTAGTAGTGGTTCACCACAGATGCCCCTTTTGATGTTTGCAAGAGGTCACTGTATTCATTACTATCATTGCTTTAATTTGGAGAATCTGTAGATAAAGTCATGGCTGTAACAGCACTGAATGCGTTTCCACTAGATGCAGAATAGGCCATGAGGCCTGAGGAATAATTCAAACAATAACTACACTAGTACAGAATATAACAGGTTATTGAAGATTTCTGTCTTCTGGGTTGTTGCGCTGTGTAGTCTGGTCGATGTTAACCAACGTTTCAGAGGTCATACTGCCTCCGTCATCAGGGCGATATTCATTGCAGTATGGCCTCTGAAACGTTGGTTAACATCGACCAGACTACACAGCGCAACAACCCAGAAGACAGAAATCTTCAATAACCTGTTATATTCTGTACTAGTGTAAGAACTTTGTGCAAGTTTGATTGCATGTATGAAATTTAGTTCTGTACTGAATATTGCCTAACTTCAATTGTAGTGACAAACCAAAGGAATCTAGACATATAATGGTACATTTATGTTCATTACATATGAAGAACACTTGAGAAAACAAAAATTGTATTTTTATTCTTTTAATGTTGGCTCCAAACTGTCATGTCGGTCTGACATTGCCTCTATTCATAAAGTTTTGGAGGTAAGGGTTGTAGTTGCAAGCATAAAAATCCACTTTGGACACCACTGGGTATAGCAAAGGAGACTAGCATGCTATCCTTTACAACTTAGTTCCCTGATATGACAAGTAAACAATGTTGAAACAAAGAGTGAAGCAGTCATGTTAACCTTATTAGCCAGGCTCACATGATTAATATGAATACTCTGCTCCTGATTAAAACCGTTCATTGTTTTTAGGTGAGAAATCTGGCAATGCTACTCTTCATTTGGAAGTGGCTCGGCTGAGGGATGCCCTGGAAGCAGAAAGAACTCGCAATGCTAACCTCAGTATCTCATTGGACCGGGAGCGAGGGGAAAAAGATACAACATTATTGCGCAATGCCCAAGTAAATCAGCAGGTGGAACTGGCAAAGCAAGAGCTCCGTGAACAGGCACAAGAATCTGTTGAACTTCATAACAGAATTGCAACAATGGAGAAAGAACTCTCAGAAAAAAATAGGGTATAGTTTTTATGAAATTACTTTTTTCTTCTGTTTATCTTTAGTTATATTCAGGGTGCAAATGAAGTTTTAGTAAACCAAAGAAATTTTACTGTTATCTTACTCCACAGTTGATGCTATCCAGCTTCCAGTTGCATAATGACACTGTCTTTTCACTAACATTACATTATTTATAAAACTATCTGACGTATTCAAAGAGAAACTGCTAATATTTCAGGACAAGAGCTCCATTGTGTACCGAGCAATATCTTCAGAAGGTGCAAGACCTGCTTAGAAGCAGGTCAGCACTTCAAGACTTCTATAAAATTTGGTTGAAGGGAAAAAGTGAATGCTTAAATTGCCAGCATATGCAGGCTTCCTGCATGGTAATACTTCCATGAAAGCTGCAGAGCTCAGGGACATGATAAATTTCACCCTGGTTTCCAGTAATAAGATAGTCATCATCATTATCATGATCTTGGTTCGGAGAGGGGACTTAGGACTTATAGCATAACCTGAACCAAGGTAGATGGCAAGTTACATCTCACATTCAGGAAGTTTTTACACTGTTAAGGAATGGGGAAAGTATTAAAAAATGTGCACTGAATTTGGCTAGCCTCAGTCCTAAGACCTTCAGCATGCATGGGCAACTAGTGACTTGTCCACAGACTATCACATCTCCTCAGGTGATTTTATAAATGCACAAAGACTCTAGGAAACAAAAGTCCATTTCTCTGAAGGTGAAACCTGGATATACCATCTCATATCAATATTCAGTACAAACTTCCCGCACAAAATTCACCACAAGAAAATGGTCTGTGAACATACTTCCCTGTTTTCTCATTTACAGGAGATTGAGAAAATGAAAATAGATTCTGAAAAAATATCAAAACGTATACAAGACCTAGAAAGTCTGGAACATGACAAACAAGCAGCCTCTAACTTGGAGCAGGAACTGAGAAATAATATGACTGAATTAGAAGAACAGTTAATTGAAAAAAATAAGGTAATTAATTCTGTCAATTTCTGATGATTTTTATGTTTACATTAAGTTGGTTATCTCAGTTTCAATGCTTTGTCTTTTCACATCTATTTTATATCTTTATAGGTTTATGTCTTTGTGAAAAATGATTATTATATGCCAATGCTTTGCAGAATATCCGTGTTCTGCAGCAGAGGCTGAGTGACATGAAGAAGACACTGCAGCGTGAGCTTAGGTTACCTGTGCAGAGTGTGGATGGCACAAGCACCACAGAATCTGAACCTTTCACTCAAGCTGCAGTACTTGCTCCGAGCTCCAGTAGACATCTCCAGCAGAAGCAGCATCATCAGGCTGTCACCAATCACCAAATGACTGATGACGATGATGATGTCAACTTCAAGTACCTGAAGCATGTTCTCATCAAATTTCTTACAAGTAGAGAGTATGAGGTACAGTTTACCATATACATTATTTTGTTATGAATTTACTGTCACAAGCTACATTATTTCATAAAGGAACAAGAATATACGGTGTCAGTGTTGGTCTTCTGGGTCGTTAACGCTGTGTGGACATATCTGTAGGTAGATACTAACATTTTGGAGAAAGATGATGTCTCCATCTTCAGACAGCATGTTTCTCTGAAATAGTGGTATGTACCTATAAGGACATGGTGTTACAACTGAGAAGACCAACATGACATCTTCACCGCTGTGAGAATTTCAAATCTCAGAAGAATAGAAGAGGTACCATAAAGGAATACACATACAGGATAATTCCAATATATAAATATTTTAACATTTTAAAAATTTTAACTTGTGTATTACTGTATTCACTCAAGCTTAAGTTCCCATTGCATGTAATTAACGTACCTTATTATGAAAGATGATTTAACACTTTTTATGGCCATAAAAATTTGTTTAATTTTCATAACATTAAGAACCACTTTCCACCATTCAGGAATGTCTAAAGATGGTATGGCCAAATAAGACCTGGTCACTCAGTGTTTTACAATTAGTTATCAGTGGTGAGGTGGTTCATTCCAATGGTCATTCATAGTGGTAGAGAGGGAAAATGCAACAGGAACACTTAATCTTTTTAAAATATTAGTGTCTTACAGTGAATTCCATTACACTGTATTGTGTATTATGAAAAGTGTGCTAAGAGAAGTTTTGAAAACATCAGTGAAGATAATTTTCAGTAATGGTAACAGACTGATGCATATGAAATGGGCTCAGTTATTCACACATCTTCCCTTCATTAGCCTGGATAACCAGGAGTTTACTATGCTATGCCTTTAAAGAAACTATTCAGATTTCAGTAGCATTAGCATTGGAGGGTTAAGCATGCTGTCCAGTAATTCTCAACAAGACATTAAATAGTAGAACAGCTTCTGATTGTTAGTTTTAATCTTTCTTCTATGTTTTGACACCATGTGGTCTTGTAGGTGGTTACCAACATTTCAGAGGAAGTTAAAGCTGAATACCTGGACTATACATACCTCCAAAATGTTGGTAACATCCTACAAGACCACACAGTGTGACAACCTATAAGACCATGATCAACATCACTGGGGTGAGGACCTCAAATCTCAGATTGTTTGCCTTGAGACCCTCATTGTTTTCATGTTATTTTACTCTATTTTAATTAGAATCTTAATATTCACTAGAAAGGAAATAAGCCTATATTGAAATGTCTTTTTTGTATGTTTAGGCACAGCATTTAACAAGAGCAGTTGCAACATTACTGAGGTTCTCACCAGAAGAAGAGCGCCTGCTACGAGAGACACTGGAATGGAAGATGTCTTGGTTTGGGACTCGGCCAAGCTTAGGATTTGGTCAGACAGCTAAAACCATTCCTCCCAGCTGATAATCCATTCCACTATACCCTGATTTCTAGGTATTGAACTGTTGCAAAGGTTTGTGTTCAGACAGCCACATTTTAATCTTTTTTTGTTAACACCCTCATTATGATCGATCTTCTACTAAGAAATCACCGTTTTTTTCGTATAAAAGTGTTGTGAGGTACAACAGAAAGCTTAGCAGCTGAGGTGCAGTAGTAATGTTGCAAGAATTGGACTATGTGATACAGGACATAAGTGGAATGTTGACACCGAACAAATGATTCTTGGACAGCAGTGTCATTTAAATGAAACTAAAACTGTATATAATCTTAGTTTAGAATCTAATTGATGAAAAAACAGGTGTAGCGGACCATTATGGATGACAAGAATTGTTTTGCATGTAAGATGTATAGGAACATAGAGAAAAAAACTTTTCTTTGTATGAAAATGAAGGTAAAGACTTATATATATGGATTTGTTTCAGTATTATAAATACTATTTTTTTTTTGATGAGAAACTGTATTCAGATATTTCCAAAAAGAATAAGAAAAATGTTAGTTTATTATTTTTACTGTTGTAATAATAATAATATTGCATATTCATGATAGAGTTATGGAAAATTGTGTGTTCTGCAACATGGTTCATGGATCATTTCACGTTTTCAAATCCAGTGAGCACTGCAAAACAACACCATAATTAAATATTAGATATCTTTGATATATTTGTCACTTCATTATGTACAAATTCCAAGTTTATATGGCAAAACTGTAAAATTATTGCTCTGAATCCATTAATAATTCTTTTAATAATATTCAGCCAATTCCAAGTCTTCCTGTTTATTTATAGGTTTATCACTAATAGCAAAATAAATGTCTTATGACTTTTATTTATTAAAGCTGTGATAGTGAAACAACAACATAACTGATATGAGTAATTAATACAGATAATTTAGCCTCCTTTAATATTTTTAAGTTCCTTTGTTAATTACAAGCCCTAATTTCCATAACTACATGAAAAAGATAATTAGTTCTATATTTACTGCAGGAAAAGTATCTTTACTGTTTGTAACAGTTTTGCATCAGACCCAAACCATCTGTGTCTTACATCCCAAGGATAACAAGAACCGCGTACGTTGCTCCAGAGGTGCAATAGCTGTGTCTGTGTTACACGACACCCATAATACAATCTTAACAGTAGAATTAAAGTTTTTATATTATGTAAAAATGCCTTTGCAGTGTTCAAAGTAATAACGGTATATAAAAATATTTGAATGGAAACATGTACTTCTCACATGATTACTTAACTCTATGTAAGACAGCCAGCCATACTATGACAGTGTGTGTGTATATGTGTATATATATATATATTACATACTTAGAGGAGAATTGAGAAGGCCATGGACTGAATACGGACCGGAGAGCCATAGAAGAAGAATGAGAAGAACATACTTAGTAAATAATCTGTGTATTATCAGATTATACTATTTACACACATTATATAATTTTAAAACCATTTCTGGAAATTGTAAGTGTCTCGATTAAGTCTGAACAGATATGTATAGTTTCAGCCATAATCTCAGCACAGCTATTTAAAAAAGAACTCTCTGATCCCACATGTAGCAAAGAAAATATTCAGTATGTCACTTGGATATGAATTTAACTCAAAAAATATGAAAGAAGTTGATTAAAATGTTTCAAATTTTTCAGAGTTTCTCACGATAATTTATAACTTGTTGCATAAGCATGGTTGTATTCAGGTTTTTGAGATTCCATATAACAAGGTTATATGAATTTTTAAACAATTTTGTTTTAGAGTGGAAAATACTCGGTGAAATGTTATGTTGAATAAAGATTTCTACAAAATTACTTTCCTCATTATATTTAAGAACAATCAGATGTATGCACTTCATCCTGAATTTAATTTTAGTGAAGAAACACATTAGACACATCACTGTGTCATGTGTTGAACCAGTGGAACCCATTTCTTTAAAAGATGGTTTATAAAGTCGTGAGGATATTGTATATGATATTCAGCAGTATCACTATTCTATTTCTTTCTCACCAATCTAGTAAACTATTATTTTAATATATTTTTTGAGACTTGTGGATGTTTGTTAGTTTCTTACCTTAAAAGTTCCTTACTTCACAGTAACCTCTCTTTTATCATTTCAAATCCCCAAACTCATTTCATTTGTTGTAATAAGTCTGACTCATTTTGTTGAAGAATAAAGATTATGCAAGAAACTGGTGGAAATGAATCTACCTAACAATCCTGGTTCACTTATAATTTGAAAAATGCAATTATTACAAAATACTTATAATTTAATATGTTCAGTATATGCTTTATACTTCCAAACAATTTGAAGTAAAATTCTGACATTATTTATCTTCACTCTGGTAGAATTCTGTAAGGACACTCTAAAGTGCCCACAAATCTGAGATGATTGCGTAAGTCATGTACATTGGAAGAGTTTACGTATATTCTTTGGAGTACATGAAGTTCCAAAGGTGAATCTTACATCACACTGCATATGTTGTCTCCTTCCAATAAAAATTAACAGTAATTAATAATGAAAGCAACATTCCATTTCCTGACATTCCTTTCATATATCTATCTTCTAATTTGCACACACGTGACACATTTACAGACAAATGCATAAACACAACAAGAATTTAGAGTGATCAGTAATCATCATGGCGACATAACAATCCAACCCTTAATGTTGGATAATGAAGCAACTGATTGAATGGTTCATATGATTATTGGCAATTACATCATATCTTCCTATGGTCGAATTCAAAATGACAGAAAAAAGTATTTGCAATTTGTATAATTGATAGATGCCTTCATGGGCGATATAATCAGTCAAAACCAAATATTATGACGGCAAGGCGGAGGACCAACAGCCTCATGACTCTGGGGATGCTAAAAATTGGTATTACTGAATATGGTAAACTAAAGTGAGAATGTGTAGTACTTTCCAATGGCATAACGTTCATACAAAATTTTATTAAAATCCGTCCAACCCTTCTCCAGTTATTAAATGTATGGGCAATGTCACATTAGCAGTGGAGTCATTACCGTCCCACCTTACGATATTTAGCATAGCATTACCGACTGTAAGAACTTACGAAGCACGAGTATGGACTAGTCCTTTATAGTACAGCCTCCGTACCAAATTTCTATCATCGTATGAGAGAGTATGTAGTTCGTAGGACCACTGATAGATGGCATGACGATCTCGAGTACACGTTCCAACATGCACGGACGGGCTCACATGATACGGAAAAGTTTGAGAGGATTCTCTCCATTGGCATAACGTTTATGCCAGTTTTCGTTGAGTGATTAAACAGTTAAAAGGGGAAAAGCTTTACAAACGTGCTGATGAAAGACTCCCGGCTTATAAGCCGCGTCAGGTGGCTGAACTGTGAATAAACCATATCTTCTGCCAACGTTTACAGAACAATCTCTGCTCTCTTCCTTAGGGCTGCTTGGCAACCAACCCGGTCCTTTGTTACGCGCTCGCTGCTGGGAACTGGTGCGGCTTGTAACCCGGGAATCTTTCATCAACTTCAGTCGCCGCGAAAGCTTCACTTTATTTTTCCAAACATGTATTTTGGCATCTTAGTTTGTTACTAACTGCTGCAACTGTCCTCACAGCAAAACATGCCGAGCTTAGTTTAGGGATGATTATAATGGCCTCAAACCACTGACTTTTAAAATACTAGCTTATGTAATTCATTTGCTGGCATTTTACGATAGAATGTACAGATGAATAATTACAAATAATGTGTACTCACTTTGATGACGTTACCATTAGCATGTTTCTCCAGACCCTTCCACTAACACACTGCAGTTAACACAGACCACTACAGCAACGCACTTGCAAACGTCCAGACGCGCGCTATCCAACTCACAGAACCACGAAAAGCCGTGGATCACTGATTACCAACATCGTACGTAATATATTACCGGTGAAATGCACAAATTACTCATTACAGTACTACTGTAGCGCCACTAAAGCGCTGTCTCCAGTGATCGCCCATACACACGGTGTGTGTTCATATCCGACAGGTAAGCACTATTACCGCAGCGATTTATCGCAGAGTGATCACCATGTTTATTGTTTTGTTAGGTGCTTAAACATGGGCTTGTTAGTTTCCTAATGTCTGTCCGTCAACCACTGAACGAAATTATACGTTTGTTAAAATCGGACACCCGTAACGAGCCCATTGCATGAAAATCTACATGCCTTTTGCACAGAAATAACTGGATGGTGAATCTCCAGCCATTTACAAAGGTTAAATTTAAATGAACAAATTATTTATTTACTAGCTTGTTGAAATTTCAATCTCCTGGACTGTTATGCCACATTGTGTAGTACATACCCTTTGTCCTGATCATGAAGGCAGTAAGGTCCTAACATTATTAAATATCTACCACCAGAAAAAATGGCCTGTCATCCCAGAAGATTCTGCATTTCCTAACTTGTTTGATGGTTCTGTGACAACTGCTTAAAAGATGGCAGGATGATTATGACTGAACAGAAAAGATGTATGGGATATTGCACTGTGTAGAATTGTAGAGGATGATCAGTGTTGCAGAGGTGCTTAGTTACCACTGTGATTATAAAAGCAATAAGCACTTCTGAAATGTCAGTCAATTTTTATTAGGCTGCGAGAAACTGAAGTCTCATAAGAAAGATGCAGATGGAAATATTTGTGGCCTTTTCAGACAGGTTATTTATCCCAGCATTTTCCTAGAAAGACTAAGGAAACACTGAATATTCCACACCAAGATATCCAGTTATACAATTGCTGCACTGGTAACTATAACTGACAACATTTTATATATCATTTTTGTGTACCAGTCACAGAAATGCATAATAATTCAACATTTGATATATTCCATATATAATTTTTGTTTTGAGATAGGAAATAAGAATTACAGAACCTTCACTAGATATTAATTTTATCGAAAAATTCAAGTAGTAAGTGTTGTGTAATAGAAAATTACACTACATAAAACAAAATATACATTTCAAAATCATGACTTCAGTACTTAATATGGAATATTATAATCAAGCGACTCTACAATTTCCCTTTCAATAATTTAGTTGTTCCTAATGTAAAATTAGTTTTAGTTCTGATTTTTAGGCATAATATGTCTTTGATTAATTAAGTAAAACACTATAACAAGAAATTAATTCCTTGTTGATTGGTTTTATACAGGGAACTAGTTATGCTTGAGATATAATTAATTTATGTGACAATATACAAATGTTATTAGTCAAAACTTAATGCAGTCCTAACCCATCACCTAAAAGAACTTCCAACTATTTCAGACTTTTAAAACACGAATGTCACGTACATCTGATTTTAGGAAACAAGAGAGTCCATTTTCATAGTAAATTTATTACATTCAAATTCTTGTATGAATACACGCTGTATGTAAACATTCTCTTCATTCGTCTAACTACATGTAACTTCCATTTGAAGGCTTCCTTTATTGAGCATTGTGATTGGAAGGCATTACTGCACATCTACTTTAGTAGACAGGGTAGCATAGGACAACTTCTGAACACCTGCAAGACTGCATTATAATAACAGCGCATTGTCTACAAATGTCATTATAATACTAAAACTACCGAATTAAAATATATAGTCAACAAACCTTTTTCATTGTCTTCAACAGTACTTTTAGATATCTTACCCTTTAGATTGCCACATTTTGTCTTGTTTTGTTATTACAGAGACTAGCCACAAATTATAATGTCTAGTTGGTAATGGAACAAAATAAAAAGCTGTCATTACCTGCTTTACTATTTAAAAAAATATCTGAACCAGATGCAGTACATAAAGCAAGTCAAATTGGATTCTTGCATAATTAAACTGTAGGAGTGAGTGACAGGTAACTAACCTTTATTTGTTACTGACAATTGTCTCTTAATGGATATAATTAAAAGGAATTACGATTCTGGTCATATTGTCATAATACGAAGCAGAGTTATTGCTGCAGACTGTTGCTTGTATGCACATGTGACTTAACAATGTTAGGTTTGGGCAGCCTCAAATGTTTCTGAACAATTTATTTATGGAACAAACATTAAAATAAGATGAACATATTACCAAACAAGTGACAAGCCTTGCTTTATAAAAAGTAAAAAAATATATGCCATTTTAAACACTATATATATGACATCACGTAACTAAGTTACAGCATATCAAGTTACAAATATTTTATTTAGGCAAAATGAAAAGTTTCAAAATTCAGATAATCTTTATCATTGTATAAAGTTTGTGAAAAATTAAGGATAATGTATAAATTGTCTTAAAACATTACCTCACCTGCATACTTCTCTAAACTGCGTCCACAGACCAAGTGACCACCAGTATAAGTGGTCCCCCTCTACCAAGTGCCAACAGCCTCTTCAGAGGGTGGATGAGCGGGTCGAGGTTCAGGGCACCCTCATGCCCTAAAGGCGGATGAACCAGATGGGTCAACGGCATAGGATGCGGAAGGCAAGGGGAATCCACCACATTAAAGATCCTCAGGATTTCCCAAGTATCAGCAGCTTAGCCGCTGCCAACCAATCCTAGGATTGATTACAACAGAAGAAAGAACACACAAGTTGTTAGGCCGAAAGAAAATTAATTGGGAAGAGGGGGGGAATGCCATGACTCTTGTTCACCCAGGGCATCACTTTTCCTTGCACCAGCTCTAAATGAAGTGGTGTATGTTATATGTTAAGCTATTCATATTCCTTCATAGAGTTCGTAATTTCTACTTACATAACCTAACATTCTGGTATGAAGATGACTGTCTCCTGGGTTGTTTTACCATTCAGTTTGACAGAAGTCACCAATGTATCAGAGGTCCTTGCTGCATGCATCACCAGGGTGACAGTGCTACAAGCAGAAGACAGCCATCTTCACACTTAGAACCTCAAATCCTACTTAATATTTGGGCACATTTATCTCCTAAAATTCTCTGAAACCACACTCTTTAACAACTTTTACCATAAACTAATCAACTAATAATATGTTATCTTCTTTCACACTCTGAGTAGACCTTTCAGTATGTCCTCATAGAGTTGTGAGGTCAA